AAAGTTCAATGACGAGCTCGAACGTGGTGGCATTGGGTGTGATCCCGTCAACAGCCATTTCCGAGAGGAGCGTGTCACCGAGGGTCCGAAGCTTGCTGTCCACGCAGCCTTGCAGAACCAAGTTGAAAGAGTCAATGTTACAAGACACTCCAAGATCGCCCGCGGCCATCTGGGTTGCTCTGGCGCGCTGCAAGTCGCCCACCTTGACACTGGCTTCAATGATGGCATTCAAAGCGACAACGTCAACAGCTTGCCCCGCGCTGTGCATGTCCTCTAGCGTGTAGAACGCTTGATCAATAACCTCGGTATTCTGCAAAACAGCGACGATCGGTTGCGCCGTGGCCAAACTGGGTGCTAGTCCGGCGTCTCGGATGTTGCTGAGGACCTGGAAGGCGTTGGGGACTTCTCCTGCATTGCAGAAAGCTTCGAGAAGGGGAGCGAGATGGTGTTCTTGGGGAGGGCCTGAGAGAAGACTGAGGAAATCAGACGAGATGTCTGGCCTGCCCCATCGGCCTGCTGTGTTGAGTATCGAAATGATGAGACCTTCGTCAGGGGTGTAGCTCGTCCTGACACGCTCCCAGGCTGTTTCAATACCATGCAGCTAGAATTAAAAGAGTCAGAGTCGAGCCTATGGCCAAGACCATGCACTCACGTAATGGTTGTCAGCACTGGCGATAAGGATATGCACCCAGGATTGCGGGTCCAGTCGGAAGCCAAAAGTGGATTCGTTCTCCGCTTTTTCAGCAATCTGCAGAGCCAGACGTGGGTGCCCCCACTCGCAAGCGAGGCGGACAGTGTGTCTGATAGTGGCCGAGTTGGGCGACAGACCCTGCTTGAACATCTCGTCCACCACCCGTACTATTTCTTCCAGTTCGTAGTTGGTCTGGGCGACTCGGGCAATGGCATTGTAGGTGGGAGTATGGCGATCCTGATTGTACAAGAGTAGAGATGGCAGCAGATGAGGGTAGATGGCAGCAAACTGTGGGCGAGTCAGATTCTGCAAAACCATCAGATGCCGTTTGACCTACGCCCATCATGGCATCGAGGCCTTTTTGTCCTAGTTCTATCCCGCCCCGTCTTGCGTCCTCCCAGGCGGCCATGGCGACCTGGAATCCGATACCCTCCGAAGGTCCACCGTCGACGCTATGCGAGGAAGCAAACTCGCTGGCGGCCTCGATGATGTTGATATACGCGAGCGGCGAGGGCACACGGTTCTCAGCCTTGTACTCTGTGAGGGTCTTGAGGACCCATGGGAGTCGGGGCTTGCCGTTGGTGCTGGATCTGGTGCGAGGCGGCTGGACCCGTGGTCGTTTTGGCGGCAGGTCTGTGGTGGTCAGCGAGAGGACGGGCCACGTGCAAGGCGTACCTTGGCTGGGGGCAGTCGCATAGGCGCGTGCGGCTGCTGGCACGCGGGCTGCAGCACGTGGGGGGAGCGGCAGGCGGAGCATGGCGATAGTAGTAGTAGTGGTAGCAGTCTTGCCCGACTTTTTGTCAAGTAGTATGGGCGGGTTAATAATACCCCGGGCATTAATAACGGAAATAATCCAGGTTGCGGGATCAAAGGGAACACTTGTTGCTCGTCCCACTCACTGCCTCTCTCTGCCTCCCCACGTCGCCACGATGCCCCCCGCCGCCACCCTCACCATCCCCCAGACGCCCTCCAGATCACGCTCCGCCTCCCAGCCCAACGTCGCCTCCATCCCAGAGGACGCAGCCCTCGACGCCACCCCCCGCCGCCTCGCAGCCCGTTCCGCCACAGTCCGTTCCCACTCCTCCAACAACGTCAGGGCACCCAACCCCTTCCAGCCCAGCCCCAATGCAGACTCCCCCTCCCTTCGCTCCAGCAAGGGCAGAGCAAGGAGCTCCAGTCTCGTCACCGTCACCGAGGTCGGTGGCGATGACCCGGACAACGTCGTAGATAGGCTCGGCGCGGGTAACAATGAGAATGCGGCGTGGGTCAATGCCCCTGGTGCGTAGTCGACCGCCCCGGCCCTACTCGTATGCGCTGACGCCGTCTGCAGGCGCTTGGTTGATCCATCCCGTCTTGATCTGTTGCGGCAAGCTCTTGATTGATGCCATCCCGGGCATGACCCAGGATGTCAGCTGGACCATCGTCAATCTGAGCTACATCACCGTACGTGGCTGTGCAGCCCAGATACATACCACGAGCTGACCCTTTGTCAAGTTTTCGTTCATCATGTTCCACCACGTCACCGGTCTTCCTTTTGAGTCGACCATGTCTACTTCGGGAGCCTACGACGACCTTACTCTCTGGGAGCAAATCGACTCTGGTGCCCAGTACACCCCGGCCAAAAAGTGGCTGACGAGTGTGCCAATTTTGCTGTGAGTATATGCGCAGTATCATTTCTTGTCATAGCTGATCGTTCCAAGGTTCTTGATCTCGACCCATTACACCCGCTACGATTACGTCCTCTTTGCGCTCAACTTTGCCGCGTTAATCTTTGTTCTTTTCCCCAAGCTTCCTATAGTAAGTTGCAGTCTTGCTCGGGATTGACTGTGGCTAATATGTCGCAGCTGCACCGTTTGCGCTTTCACTTTACGGTCAATAACGCAACGGATATTCCGTCCACCCCAAACCCTTCCCGCCCGCCTTCACCCTCCATCCATCGTTCAATCACAACCAGATAACGTCGGAGGGTTGTTTCTGAAATCATCTATTATATCATCTTGCTACTAGGCGCAACAGTGTTTGGCATCTTAGATACACATCATGCAAACCAATGTCACACTTTATTGTACCATAGAATGGTGCATTCGCCCGATCAACGTTTACTGCTCTTCTTCATTAATCTATTCTTTTCCTGTTTGGGCATCTTTGTCTTTCTCTTCTCCCTCTGCTCCTCTTTGACAGCCTTCTTGCGCTCCTGGAGTAAAGAGGTTAGCCAGGTACCTGATCTGTGGCGGAATGCGCTTGCCTTCTTCGAGTCGCGATCCTCATGCCTGAAACCCCGCGGTTTCTTGTCACCGTCCTCATCCTCATCCTCACTGTTATCACCTTCTCCCTCGTCTGCTGATACCCCTGCGGCAATACCATCCTCGAATCTCACATTCTTGGCCGGGGGATCGGGCGTTGGCTGTGACAACTTCAATCCGGTGATACCCGCGTAGATCAAGTCGTCACCGCCTCCGCTCTTGAGTACATCAACGTCTCTCTCTGCGTCGTAAACTTCTGCAAGAGTACGAGGGATGTATGATTCCATAAACACCGCATCGTCGACTTTGTCGGAGGGCGCCGTTGCCCACTCCGCTACTATAGCAGCGAGTCGCTTCTCGCCATCGTCTCCGACCTCTTCCTCGGGGGAGAGACCAATATCTTCCGTGACTACAAACTCCCAGGATCGTCGTAGTCCCAGCGTGCTCGTACCACGTCGCCCAAAGAACTCCTCGACATTGGAGAGGTCAGATCGCAAAAAGTCAAACGCATTGGGATGGTCGTGCTCGACGGATTGGGATACGTCGATGATGACAAGATGACCCTCATGTACACTGCCCGGTCTATCAGCATAGAAACTAAACAACGAGACAGAGTTGAAAGGCTTACAGGATGTTGTACTCGCTCAAGTCCGCGTGCACTAAATGGCATCTCTGGTACATCCTTCTTGTGGCGACCATTAGCTCTGCGTAGAGTCCAGGTAGCGATTCTGTGAGGAGCTCGGCATCTTTGAGACGAGGCGCCGCTCTGGAGATATGCACTGATGAGCGCACCGAACAACCGGGGAGCCGCCCAATACTCACTCCTCGCCAACACCAAGATAATCCATGACCAAGACATTTTCCTTGCACTCGTGAACCACGGGAGCTCTAACGCCTCCTTGAGCGAGACGTTTGAGATTCCGCAGCTCCTTCTCAGCCCAGACTCGAATCATCTTGCGGGGATTTTTCGATGAGGTATACTCTCCCTTGAAACGCTGCTCGCCGACGATGTAGTTCTGACGCGAACGGAAGACGAGGATGGATGTCCGGTAGATTTTGACCACACGAGAGGGCGGAGAAAAGTACACGTTTGCCTGCAGGCAAGAGTCAGTCCAGTCCAATGTTCAGTCCAATCACTTGCTTACTTCTTTGCCGGTACTTATACATCGGTCAATTTTGCCGATTACCCCACGATTCACAAGACCCGCCAAAACCAAACGGGTACGCGAGTCCAAGACTTGATCCTGCGTTGCTCTGTCGCTTTTGTCTTTATCGTGCTTGTCCTGAGCGGCTTTTGGATTGGTCGCCACACCTGTTTTGAGCGATATACTGTTACCCTGGGCTTTTGTCTTGGCGGGCACACTCTTCTGGGGCGCATTGCGCGCAGGGAGCGGGACCGAACCGGATCCTGCAGCATGCTGCTGCCGCACTCGATTATACTGTTTTGTGAAATCTACCGGCACCATGATCAACCCGAGTCAAAGTTGAGTCAGATTGCCAAAATGAACTCACCTCCGTTGGCCAGCTCCCAGTCTTCGCCTTCGACATCCCAGTCATCATCTTCCTCATCCTCCTCATAATCGAACGGATCAATGTGCCCTTGCCCAACTTCGTATTCTATATCGGGAAAAGGTTCGCCCTCTGATTCCTCCTCGACGCTAGACCCGCTCGATTGATCGTCTTGCTCTGTTGTGGCGGCACCCGTAAGGTCATCAAGCGCCGGGGCCACTGAGACTTCCTCGGCGTTCTGGTCGATGTATCCGAGGTCGGGGCGTCGTGACATGGTGGTCGAAGGGTCTGCGTTGTTGGCGTTGTTGGTGTGATGCGGCTGGCTGATTCTATAGGGGCGTTGTTTGTGCGGATCCCGGTTCTCTACCAGCCTGTGTTTGAGGATGCAAGTCTACTTCTTGTACATCAATTCATGTCGATTTGACCAACTCATGTGGAGGCGCGGCGAGAACCAAAAATCAACATTCAATTACGTAATCCACTTTGACGTCACTTCGGCTATCAGGTGACCGCGGAGGCATATATAACCAGCGAAGCGATGCTCCAGTTGCCCCTCCAGCCACCGAACAATACACAATGTCCCCTCTGCCTGAAATTCTCTTCGACGTCGCGCGCAACCCCGTGATTGCTGGTGAGTCTCCCCAACAGCCAGGTCTGTTCCCACATTGACTCGCGCAGTCGGTCTCCCCATTGGCCTTGGAGCAGCCAGCGGGTACATCACCGGGCAGAGCTCAAGGAGCAACTGGTTCACTGTAGGACACAATGGCAGACCGATTATGAATGCTGCTAATCTGTCATCAGACAATGACTCCGCCTCCTGGAAATCCGCCCAAGGAGGTCTTTGGACCGGTAAGCTGGTTTCTGAGCACCGACCATTATGGGCTGACGGACCTAGGTTTGGACCGTTCTCTATGGCCTCATGGGCTATGCATCCCATTTGGCTGTCAAATCATTTGATGCTGCCATCACACCTTCTGGAACGTGCGTATTGTTGCAAAGTTCTTGAATGATATGGGCTGACTTGTCGGCCCCTCAGACACGAGTCTGATGTTGCTCTACAACTCTACTACGCTCAACTGGGTCTCAATTTGATTTGGTCACCCATCTTCTTTGGTTTGAAGCAGAAAGAGATTGCATTGGGTAATCTGTTGGCCCTCACGGGTACCGTTGGTGCAATGACTGTGGGTTTAATTCAATGGTTGACAAGTGTAACTGACACATTGTCAAGGCCAAGATGTACAACATCAATACCAACACCCTTTGGTTCTTGGCACCATACTGTGCATGGCTTGGATATGGTAAGTCAATGATCTCTACTCTGCCACATGTCCACTAATCAACATTCTCCAGCCACATACCTCAATGCAGGCTATATCTTCTTCAACCGGTGAGCTGCGGTGAGCTGTGAGTGCTTAAGCAGCAGCAGCTGACATCTACTTGTAGCAAGCGAGCGTGATTGAGCGTGTAGCTATAGTCTTTGGTCTGATTGAAAGTGTACAGCTTACGGAGTCATATCACCCAATGAACAAACAACAAATTCAGCAATAATAGCACCACACCTCTAAATGTATTGCATCTCTGAGAGTTCCTGGTACATGTACAAACAGAAGCCAAAACGGAAAACATATATAAAACATATATTGTCAAGATGTCTTTCTACAAATCTATGGAGCCTATGGAGTGTTGGCAAAGTGTTGGTGCACTACACAAGTACAAAATTGATATTTTCTCGGGCAGTCTGACTCTGTGCAGTGCTGATGTGATGCCCAATGGAAATAGTAATGAGTGGAAGGCAAGATCTATAGTTTGATAAACAGCTCTGTCACAATGTACTTGTATCTGGGGGAATCATAGTGGTGATGCTCCAGAGGCAAACATCTACTCACAGATGACTAAGGATATCACTCACAAGGTCCAGACTGCAGGACACTATTCTGTGTTCATGGAGGGTGGCTGGCTTGTGCATGGGATCGCATTCAGCACTGTATCTTTACTTTTGGTTCTCTTCTTCTTCTTTGATGACCCATCAATGTGTGTCCAAAGTCTCCCTACTTAGGCAAGGTCGCCTCACAAATAGCACAAGCTATATAAAGCTTGCTTCTTTCATATCTATACCCACATGCATAACAGAGCTATGGAGCCACAGTTGCATTGTACATATGCTGCAAATATTGATCCAGCCAGGCTGAAATGATGACCTTTTGCAGCGGTTAAGAGGTCCAAGTGATTGATTGTTCCTTTGCAGCTGCATTCTTTATGACATGCATACTGGACCAGCAGTAAACTAATACTCTAATGATTCTATTGACGGTGTCCGATGAGCTTGATTTGCTAGATCAACTTTAGCATACTCAACCAGCAGGGTGTTTTGGGGCAAGATTTGAGGAAAGTATTTTTGGTTATAGGTATGCAAGTCAGACATATTCCAGATTGCTGATGAGCTTCAGATCTACAGACTAATACAAACTTATATAGACGTTTCCAGCGTGTTTCCATGGGTCATACCAATTTTTCCCAGAAAAAACGAGTCTTATCAATCCTACCTTGGAAGTATCCCTTGTGTCTAAACGAAAGATAACAATCGATGAAACATTCTACAAGTATACTTATATGTATCTAAGCTACCAATGTTGTGTCTCTGCATTTCAAAAATGATTGCTTAATCCTGACAATAAGGAGGGTCATAGAACAGCCAGGCTTCTTGTGAAGAAGCATTCTTGTTGAATGATTTCATGGGTGAAGTTTGGTTATCGTGTTCTCTCTTGGCTACTGAGCCATATATTTGTGAGGAAGGCGAGATCCCTAGAAATAGAGTATCAGTGTTTGCTCTGAGGGTGCCAAAGGGGTGATGAGGATAGAAGGGAATTGAACAATAAGAACACCTGAAGAGTTAGAGTGATGATGACAAGTGTGTCTCAATGCATCCAGCTTTACTTCTTTACATGAATTTGGGACTTTTCTGCTGGAAGCTGACAGGGGTGGGGCATTTGGAGATATTTTGTGGATAACAGGTGCAGGATGTGCTCAATGATTTGGATGTAAAGGATGAGATGAGAAGGAGAAAGTGTAAGAGTTTGGATAGGTGAGGCGTAACCTAGGGGCGGTTACGTGGAGGATCTGACTAGGGGCATCAGATGTCAACCTTGAATAGACTGGATGGAGAGAGGATGGATATAGGTAAGATGATATATACAAGAATACATTGATAGGGAAAATGATACAGAGATATGGGAGCCTCCTTTTGCCTCTGCGCCTGTTCATCCCTGCGAACATAGTGGCAACCCTGAGACCAAACTCTGCATTCCAATGTCCACATCACTAGATCTCCTCCTACTGACCAGTCTGTAGCAATCCCTTACAGAAAGAGAAAGAGATATGAAGACAGAGAAAAGATGGTGGTGATGGCCCAAGCAAGAGTCAACAGATGGAGGCTTGTTCAACTTTATCACATACAATGAATGAGCTGGTGGCAAACTGGAGAAAACAGAGTACAATGCAGTGTTGGAACTCATCAATGAGTCAGAAAGGCAAGTGGCCATGGTAGCTGCAGAGAAGACCCTCATCAATCAATAATATCATGTAAAAGAACCCCAGCTTAGAACCTCACAAGTCCTAATCCATGTATGGCTGAATGAGTGGTCAGGCATAACACATACAGTTTATTTACTTGTCAACACCAACAACGGGACTGATCTTTACTGTCCATTAGCTAGGGACCTTTCTGTCTGATATGATCTCTTTGTCATCCAACAATCACATCACCAATCAGTGGAGTGTGGGTTTTACAATAAGCAGGCAGGTTCCATAAAATCAAAGTCTCAGCAACCTCAAAGTGTGTAGTTTGTTGTCACAGGGCTGGTCACTGACTGTTGGGTTGAACTAGTAATTTGTTCAAATGGAAGAACAGTGCCGAGTTGTCAACTTTAGCGTGCTTGTAAGGAGGTGGATAGGTGAGGCATAACTTAAGGGCAGTACATGGAGGATCTGACTAAGGGCGCCAGATGTCGACCTTGAATAGGCTGGATGGATGAAGGATGTATATAGGTAGAGAGGTTTCTACAAGAATACATTGACAGGGAAAAGGACAAGGAGACGCGGCACAATGTATATATGGGAACCTCATCTTGCAATCTGGCCTACACATCCCAGAGACCATAGTGGCAACCCTAGCACCGAACCCTGCGTTCCACAGTACATGTCACCACATCTCCTCCTACTAGCCAGTCTGTACCAATCCCTTACAGTGCTAGGCACCTGCACGTCCCATGGACTCTTTTAGCTTTACTTGCCTCCCTCTTCATCACCGTTACTTGTTCTTGTTATCTTTCTCTTCTGGTAAGGCTGTCCAACGCACAGCGACACACCCATATTCGTTACCCTTACCTTCTTCCACCCTTCTCCTCTTTCTTATTGTCTTTAGCCTTTTTGTACGCTTTGCTGGTCGACTTGTACCCTTATTCGTTTCATGCTGTTGTCGTGTCACGTAGTTGCTCCGTCTATTGTCCCGTCACTCATTATGTATATAAGAGAGGTTGGGTGTTGGGAAAGGACTTCAGCAAAACTCTTTGACTCTCTTCTCTCCCCTCCTTTCCTTGTTTAGCCTCTACTCCTTCCAAGACCTCATTCAAGCACAACTGCATACTCCTCTTCACATACTTGGACTCAACCTTTGATTACACTTGGTGATAATTCTAGCTGTCTGTCACACAGGTCCATGACCTCTAGCGATGCCCTTGTAGTAGTCAAGGTGAGTCGAAATGACTTGAGGACCATGAGAGGTAGCCAAGCCAATGCTAGAGGACATGGACACTTGTGTTGAAGAGACAACAATATTTGATCAACAGAGTATCTAAAAGCTATGAAAGAGTGTAGGTATTTATATCCAGCCTCAAGCCTATGTATCCCTTTTCCATGTCCTTCCAGTGCTTTCTACAGTCGCCAACAGAGTGGCAAGGATGATTCTATACGTTTCGTGGCATTTTTGGGTTGAGTGGCGACAGCCACATGACACTGTCACCCCAGAGCAGGCCTGATCACCACATCAACAAGTAAGGGGATATATTGGAGTTTGAGCGATTGAGTACATCACCCATGTTAGTGATGTGTAGCCACGTAATTTCATGTACCTTGGGTGGACCATCATGTGGCGGGATGCTGCCTGCCACATGACGGCTGAGGTCAAAGTTGGCTCTGTAGTTCTATCTACATCCAACCGTCCAACACATAGAGCCGCTAGCTACCCTTCACTGGGCTCCAGAACACAGTACAAATTACTCCAACACCCCCACATCTCAACAGGATAACAAAATATCTGGACTTGATTGTGTGAGCCTTCAATGTGAGATTGTTACAATGAAAGCTGTTTATCCATAACTGGGAAGGCTACTATGGAAAGTAACTCCCTATATATACCTTAATCCACAATTGCTACAGATGACTAGACAAGACGCTCCACTTGTTTCACTATTATAAAGGATCCTGATGACTTGATACCAGACTACACTGCTTTACACATATTTTTCTGCCTTTGAACAGAGCTATCTCCTGATACACAATTCAGACTTGTATAAGAATCCAGTGGTCAGGTCCCGGGGCGTGAGTTAACAAGTCCAAATGCCAACATATGCATTACAATTCTGGAATTGGAATTGTGATGCAGTAGCTTTTGCTGCTCATCGGTTGAATTGGTCTTACTTGGTATTTAGGTCCTTTACAGACACTGCACAGGATTGCAAACTAGTGCGCAGAACTGATTCAAACCTTTGTGGTTCATGACACTTGTCTGCATTGATTCAAATCACACAGCATCAGGTCAAGCCCCAAAAACTGTAATGGAGCTTTGGAGCCGCCATTGCACTGTACATAAGCTGCAAATACTGTTCCAGCCGAGCTGGAATGGTGACCTTTTGCAGCGTTCAAGAGGTCCAAAAGATTGAATGTTTCCTTGCAGATGCATTCTCTACAGATAAGTATTAGAAGTGACTCTCAAGGTAAGGTCAAGGCTTAGTTTAGTTGCTACTACAAGTATCTGTCATAGTCTGCAGTCTTGCATAGTAAAGCGGTAGTCGCAAATTTTCTGCAAATTTTGGTCTCTGCCGCATTGATGCAGCTTGGGGTGTATCTTTCAAACCACTACATATAACGCTGTATCGCACCTATGCATATCAGATTTGATGAGGACAACTATGAGCATCTCCTGCATTAGATATGCATAGCTAGAAGCTGTTTAATCAATACTTGGTATGCCCACCTCGGCTCTTTATCACCTCCTCCATTCTGGTCGGCATGCTCTCGATGCATGCCTCGTTGCTCTCCTGCGATATCTCCTGCCAGGCTTCCTGGGCCACCCTGGTAAGTTCTTCAGTGGTAGTTGCCCTTCTCCCACGACTCCTGATTCTCTCTTTGAGGAGCTTCCAGCAATTTTCAATCAGATTGAGATCGGGAGAGCAAGCAGGGTGGGGAATATAGGAGAAGCCGTTTGCATGGCCTGCTCCTTGCGCCACCTTGGCCGTATGGACCTGAGCATTATCCTCTAGGATGAAGAGGCTATGCTTACCACCCACACGCGATTTTGCGGACTCCCAGAGGTTTTTGAGGTGTTTATTCACGATCTGCTCTTGGTAGAGCTGAGCAGTGCACCACCTCGCTTGCCTGTGCTTTTGCTGGTGTCAAAAACAACTAGCTCTGACCTCCCGCCGTGGTAGATGGCTCCCCAAACCATAATGGAGACCACAGACTGCCCAAATGCAGGCCTCAGATTCTCCAACCACATTGCCTCTCCCTCTTTCCTGGTGACCCAAGTCACATGGTTCCCATTGGCTCTGACGATTGCCTCATTGACATATATACCCTTTTGGAAGTCGAAGTTTTGGTGGTCAAGGGTGTACGAGTAGCGGGCACGCCTGTGCTGCTTCTTTAGGAAAGGTTTGTACACCGCTTTCCTTTGAGAAAACCCATTGACAGCCATGAACTTCTTTAAGGTAGTCAGGGAGATTTCGATTCCACTGGCGGCCGTAAGGGTGGGAAGTTTTGCGACTGGAGTCCACCTGTGCAGACGAATCAGGCGGCTGAGCTGGCGGGAAGTACGAGGGTCGATACTCTTCTTTTGACTGGTGTACTCGCGGGCCCTTGTAGTGCCCCGCTCCTCCACATCTTTGCGGGCGTTGTGTATGGTACTCTTGGCAACTCCGTGAATGCGACCGGCTTGTGTATTGCCATATTTGTCGCTATCCGCAGCATATTGGCGTCGTTTAGATGGTGAGGCATGTACAGTCATGGCGGTAGAGTCAACTGGTAATAAAAAGTGCATGCATAGCTATGTTGTGAAAGGATATATAGCTGGTTGAAGTGTATATGAGGTCATAGATGCATTTGATAAATTGGGGGGCAAAACAAAATTTGCAGGAAATTCGCAATTACCACCTGTAGTTAGACACTCATACAGATGACTTGCTCATATCCAACCCAGTTACATATTCCTTTAAATCTCTAAATGGGTCCTACACTGCCAGACAGTCATAAGGTGGGCACAGGCCCTCTAAAGGCCATGTGTATGGCTGGTATGATGGCATGACCCACTGTAGAGTGTCAGGTCTTACTCACAGTGTCCCTTATAGCTGCTAAGCAGTATAAAGCAATTCTTAGCTGAATGAAGGGAAAGAGTTATCTATGTATATGTCAATTCCAATTAACAATATATGTGTACATGTTGGGACCAATCAGCAAGGCTATCCTGGACATGATAGGGGCTTGTACTAACCTAAGGTTGAAAATATCTTGTTGGCTTAGCTAGTAGTTTGAATAGGCCTGTTCGCTTGGATTCCTGCTACATAGGCAAGTCAGATGTATTCAAAGTCACTGGGATCCTCGAGTCTATGTAAAACTATTTACTTGTATAGACATCTAGAGCCCTAACGGCTTACTCAGCTTTTCCATGTTTGCCACCCAACTGACTAAACAGCTCCCTGGGCTTACTACACTTTCTCATAAGCGCTATGGAAATAAGTCTTAGAATAGCTAAGGCTCACAATATCTTGGAAGCTGACTCTATGTAAAGAAAGTGTCTCTTGAATTGTAACCGGGGTGGAGAAGATGAGGGTGCTCAGGTGTCTAGGTCTTGGTTGGAGATAGATATTGGGATGAGTTGGAGTTGGTTGTGCCTTGGGGATGAATTGCTGTGTAAGCGGGGTGATAACAATGTCTCTGGATGTGTGTAGCTCCTGGTACTATATGATGGTTGTAATGTACCAGAACAAGCAAGAGAGGTACCTCAAACGATGAAGTAATTACAAGTGTTAGTGAAAGAGTGTTACAACGGGTCCAGCTCAATAAGTAATGCATAATGAAATGTGTGATGACATGGAAGCTGGAGCGCGGTTGTGACATAGAGTTGTTCCTAACCATCAGTGGGTTATTCCTACCCATGCTGATAGTCTGACCCCAGAGCATGGCAGCAGTGACCCTGGCCTTTTGAGTATCCTAGAAATGACTCATGGCCAGGCTTTGTCATGCAAGAAGTGCCGGAAGAAGGAACACCGCCGGGAAAGAAGGCTTTGGGCTGAGGAGAACAGTGGGAGAGACTGGAAGAAGTTTATCTTCATGGATGCGGCCAGGATGGAGAGTGGTCAGTCTCCTAGAAGGTGGGTCTCCTGTCTCCACATTGCGGAGAGGTATCAGCTCAACAATAGGGTGGGCAGCCAGAATGACCTGAGCCACTGTGTTTGTTTTGGTTGTTGTCTGTTGCCTGTGCTGTTGCCTTTGGGTTGGTTGAGTAAGAGAGTACAAGATGAGAGGAGGAGTAAGAATAGGTAAAAGTATATGAAATGGGAACTATCTCTACTATCCAGCAGCTCTATATATAGATATATATATATATATATATATATATCTTTGGGTCCCCAACACTCCTCCTACCATCAACTACAACACCAACCAACACCAATCAACACCAATCAACACCAACCAACACCAACCAACACCAACCAACACCAACTGACACTGACCAACACCAACCTGTCAACTGCAACTAGTTGAAGACTAGTCCTTGACTTGTCCTCCAAAACTCTGATAGGCACCTCCCTAGTACACAGTCCTGACCCTGTCCCTACCCTGTTTCACACACTCGTTGCTGATCATATTCAAGGCATGTTACTCCAGAGAAGGGCCATGTCACTGATCCCCAGAACCTTGGTTACACCTTCCCTACAGAAGTGGCAGGGTATCAGTGATGGTCTGGTGAGCCAATGCTTCTGAGCAACAAATGGCCCTTGCCCAAATCAAATTTATGAAGAATAACAAGTTCACCACAGGATACTGTGGTGATAAGATTGTACAGCCCCACCTGGGGTTTTGTGTGGAAGATATGAGACGGGAGGGAGTTGAGGACCATCTGGTGGTTGAAGATGGGGCTATCCATCATGCCCTTACCCCTCAATGTCTCAAGGCCCGCCTCCACATTGTCAATCTCACCCATCCTCCCTGCTCCATAGATCTGGATCTGATTGAGAATATGTGGAAAGCCATGAAGGTAAAGGTGAAGGCAAGGGAGAGGAAGGCTACCTTCCACAAGGATTTATGGGAGGACCTGCAGAAGGCTTGGAAAGATATCCCAATTGAGATGGTGAACTCATCTATCATGTTTATGGATTATCAGAGGTATGCTGTAGTCAAAGCAAAAGGTAATTCTAGCAGGGCTTAACCCAGATATTGATTGTTATGCACTCTTATATTTGCATGCGAAGTTTCAAGTATGTTCAACTAGTAGGAAAATGAGATACAGGCCTAAATGGTAAAAAAAAATACGTGAAGATAATCCCGCCGCTCCACAGGTGTCCAGGTTTTCTGCCCCCCACTTGTAGGAAAGGCTACAAACAATAAGGTGGACAAGGTAATTTGAATTAAGTGCTGGAAGTCAACATGGGCATGGCAAGCTACATCTGACAGCTTTATTAGCAGGAAGGAAGAGAACAAGAATGAGGACAAGTAACAGCAAACAAAGTCAGCAGAAAGAATCTCACTCTGATGCATTTCATCTGACTGGACCCACAATAAGTCAACAGCTAAAGGAGCACTGTAGTACTGCTGGTCCAGCTACAATAAGGTAATGTTTTGGCGACGTGTGTTTGTTGCATTAAAAAAGGATCATTGAGCCCCCGTGGCGCAATCGGTAGCGCGCACGACTCTTAGAGTTTGCTTGAACCGATTATGGGCCATCATTTATCGTGCGGTTGCGGGTTCGAGCCCCGCCGGAGGCTTTTTTGCTGAGTCTTTTTGTCTATTTGTTCTATGTTTTTGTTGTTCTAGTTATTTAATGCCAATGAACAACAATACAAAATAGTAAAGGGATACATTGACCATACTTGAACGGTAATGTAAGCATTGATCAGATGCTGTAACAGTTGGTCCCCCCTATAAAGTGATACAGGTGATATTTGCAAATTCTCTACAGATTTTGGTCTCTGCCGCATTGATACAGCTTGGGGTGTATATTTCAAACCACTACATGTAACACTGTATTGCACCTATGCATATAAGATTTGATGAGGACAACAATGAGCATCTCCTGCATTGGGAATTCATAGCTGAAAGCTGTTTGATCAATACTTGGTATGCCCACCTCACCTCTTTATCACCTCCTCATTCTAGACAGCATGCTCTCGATGCATGCCTCGTTGCTCTCCTGCAATATCTCCTGCCAGGCTTCCTGGGCCACCCTGGTAAGTTCTTTGGTGGTACTTGCCCTTCTCCCACGACTCCTGATTCTCTCTTTGAGGGGCTTCCAGCAATTGTTGATTGAGTTGAGATCAGGAGAGCAAGCAGGGTGGGGAATATAGGAGAAGCCATTTGCATGGCCTGCTCCTCACATCACCTTGGCAGTGTGGACCTGAGCATTATCCTCTAGGGTGAAGGGGCCATGCTCACCACCCACACGCGATTTTGCGGACTCCCAGAGGTTTTTGAGGTGTTTATTCACGATCTGCTCTTGGTAGAGCTGAGCAGTGCACCACCCCGCTTGCCTGTGCTTTTGCTGGTGTCAAAAACAACTAGCTCTGACCTCCCGTTGTGGTAGATGGCTCCCCAAACCATAATGGAGACCACAGACTGCCCAAATGCAGGCCTCAGATTCTCCAAGCACATTGCCTCTCCCTCTTTCCTGGTGACCCAAGTCACATGGTTCCCATTGGCTCTGACAATTGCCTCATCGACATATAGATTGCAGACTCTCAGAGCTTTTTGAGGTGTAACTCACAATCTGTCCTTGGTAGAGCTGAGCAGTGACACCACCCAGCTTGCCCGGGCCAGCATTGAGACAAGTTTGGACAAGTAGGAGTGGGACTCAGGGGGTAGTAGGAGGCGCCTGGGCCGGGGCTTGAGTGGGCGCGGGCATGAGGGGCACAACTTGAGGTTGGAAAGTGGGACAGCTGTGGGACATTTGCCCTTGCTGGCGACACTGGAAACAGATGTCTTGCTGTCTGAGATAATCACGGGCTTGCGCTCCCTTGGGACCATACGGGAGGCAAATAGAGCTGTTGAGCCAAGCACATACTGTTGCCTCAGATGGGGGAGCCGGCGCGGCCGATATTGCCTTGACAGGCTGGGAGTTGGTGGGCTGTGGGGTTGGTCGTGGTGCTGGAGCCTGTTGAGACCCAGCAGTTGGCTGAGCATGGGGGGGCTGGCGCAATGCAGCTGGGAGGCCGCTGTAGAAGGCAGCCATCTGGTTGGCACAAGCGTTGACGGTTGCAGACATGAGGTTGATCAATTTGGCATTGGAGGCTGTATAGATGGTCCAGCTATTTCGTTCCATTGCGGCTTTGACTTCTTGGGTGATGTATGGGGAGTACAACCCAGCTGTCAGGATTCGTTTGACCTCCATATCGGTGAGAGGCTCCTCTGAACCTTTGAGGAGGTGTTGGTGGTTGCAGACAAGAGCAGCAAAGGTGTCAAAGTGGCGGGCCGTCGCTCCCTGCATGCGTTTTGAAGTGGCCAAGCACCTTGCCTGTTTGACCCAGTTGCGGGCGAGAACCTTCTGCTTCCATTTCTTGCTCCACCAGAAGAAGGTAGTGGCCCATTCCCCCACTTCCCGAGACCAATCCAACCACTCCCCGATGCCAGCAATTGAGAGGTTGCATTGCTCTATGACCCATCAGTCAAAAAACTCGTGTGGCATGGTGTCACATGCCCTGTTGTTATGATCCTTGAGAGCATAGAGGTGGCGGGTGATGATGAACGGGTCTTGGGTGTAACGGGACAGGGTGGGACACTCCAACTTCTCTGGGTGACAAAAAATTTTGGGCTCATGTAAGAGATGGAGTTCCTCTTCACTGATGATGGCGACTAGGGCGAATGGCGATGGTCACAGCACTGGACTAGCTGGACGAGGAACGGCGAGGAGAACGACAAGAACTGCAGAGAACAGCGAGATCTGGACGGGGCGGCGTGGCCTGAAGAAAACAGGACCCCACTTCATATATTTGTCACACAGACAGAAGAAAGCGGTGACTCTGGGCAGGAGTCAGTCTGAACTATTCACTAACACACATACAGACGCCATACGTACCTGGGTGTAAGGACTACGCAGGCAGTCCTTTACTGAGTCGATGTTGTACTTGTTGCGAGAAGTGTACAAGACCCCTTGTGCATGTAATCTGGACAGAGGCCCGCAATATATGTATGCAAGCACACCAAAGAAGAGAAAAGGACAAGAGACAGGGGAACAAGGGCAATGGGGAAGGGAAATGAATAAAGAACAACAAGAGACAAGGCTCACCTGGACAGAGGCCATCAATATATGTACGCAAGCACACCAAAGAAGAGAAAAGGATACTGGCCAGGATCAGTCAAGGAGAACACACGGAAACAGGAATGGATACGCACAGAGACAGGGGAACAAGGGCAATGGGGAAGAGAAATGGATAAAGACCCAAAGATCCCACGCACCTGCGGTCCCTGTCCCTGAGCAAGAGCGGTTGCAAAACAAAACACGCAAGTCACAACACCGGAAGGCCAAGAGTGGCAGAGAAACTGGGAAACGGAACCAAAAGACGACGGAGGCGTTGGCGATAGCCAAGACACGAGCAGAAATGGTTAAGTTGCGAGAGGCAGAGATCACCAAAACGCGGCTGAAAATGGTGAAGTCGCAAAAGGCAGTGATTGCCAAAACGCGGCTAGAAATGGCAAAGTCATGGAAAGCAGCCCACTGCTTACATGTAAGGACTACACAGGCAGTCCTTCACTATGTCGATGTTGTACTTGTCTTGAGAAGTGTGCAAGACCCCTTGTGCATGTAACCTGGACAGAGTCCGTCAATATATGTACGCAGAGCACACCAAAGAGACGAAGAGGACGAGGGACAGGGGAACAAGGGCGATGGGAAAGAGAAATGGATAAAGAACAACAAGGGACAAGGCTCACCTGGACAGAGTCCGTCAATAAATGTATGCAGAGCACACCAAAGAGACAAAGAGGACACTGGCCAGGATCAGTCAAGGAAAATTCCGAGAGCAGGAATGGATACGCACAGGGACAGGGGAACAAGGGCAATGGGAAAGAGAAATGGATAAAGACCCAAATATCCCATGCGCCTGTGTGTAAGAGGTGGTGTTCCTCTTCACTGACAGCGGCGGCGAGGAAGGCGAACGGCGAAGGTCACAGCTATGGCTAACTGGACGGAAGAACGGCAAAGAACGGCGAAGAATGGCGGAGAACGGCAGAGGGCTGAGCAGGGCGGTGCAACCTGAAGTGAAACAGGACCCCAATACATATATGTCACACAGACAGGAAAAGGCGGTGACTCTGGGCAGAGATCAGTCCTAATTCTAACGAAACGCACACACAGGCACCTGAGCTGTATAGCAAAGGGCAAAGAACAGGGAACAACAATGGGCAAAGAAAGAGAAGCCACATCAACATTCCACCAAGTCCTTGTCTGCGCGTGCGGCGAGCTCTGCAAAACTCTTAAATGATGTGGCAATACACATTATGTAAACACCAACGGAAGCGCTTCTCATTTGTCTGAGTTCTTTCTGCTCTTTGTCCCACAGCTTTATCAGGCCGCCTCCTGCATGCATGCATAGCAGGAGCGCTTCTCATTTGCTGGGTCCAAGCACTCAAACGCAACAGGCTGCCTTCCGCTAATGCTTACTCACATGCAGTCCGACAGTCAAGGCAAAGAGTTGCAGCCAAAAGGGTCGACAGGTTGTATGTCAAGAAGGGTATGAGGCAAGCCTCTTACACTTGTGTCTTCCTCTTCAAGTACTTGGACTCAACCCGCAACTACACTTGGTGTTTACTTCAGCTGCCACCCCAGAGCAGGCCTGATCACCACATCTGGGGGCCTAACTGGGTTTTTGTCCTTCTACCTGAAGTAGGCCACACTGTAAGAGGCTTGCCTCATACTGTAAGCAGTGGGCTGCTTTCCATGACTTCGCCATTCCTGGCCGCATTTCGGTGATTGCCGCCTTTTGCAACTTAGCCATTTTCAGCCGCGTTTTGGCAATCTCCGCTTCTTGTGACTTAACCATTTCTGCTTGCGCCTTGGCTCGGCTATCGCCGAAGCCTCTGTTGTCCTTTGGTTCCGTTTCCCAGTTTCTCTGCCACTCTTGCTATTTCCGTTTCCCCATTGGTTTTGCGACTGCTCTTGCTCAGGGACAGGGACCGCAGGCGCGTGGGATATTTGGGTCTTTATCCATTTCTCTTTCCCATTGCCCTTGTTCCCCCATCTCTTGTCCTCTTCATCTCTTTGGTGTGCTCTGCGTACATATATTGATGGACTCTGTCCAGGTTACATGCACAAGGGGTCTTGCACACTTCTCAAGACAAGTACAACATTGACCTAGTGAAGGACTGCCCGCGTAGTTGTAAGAGGTAGGCCTTGACTATTGTAAAAGGACCCTCCCATTGTGGCATAAACTTAGCGGAACGACTAGTTGATGTCTTGTACTCATGGCAAAAATTGGTGGTATCGATGGAGACCTTGTCGCCGACTGCATAGACAGGCTCAGGGTGTCGATGTCGATTGGCTTGAACGGCTTGCTGATATTTGGAAATAAGTAGTCTGTCTTCTGCCTCACCTTCCTCCAATTCCATCCGACGCGCGGCAAGTTCCCATTCTTCTTTGGTTGGGTGGAAACTGGCAGCAGCAGGGGCGTTGGCATGGGCCAAGATAGGTGGGGAGAGAGAGGGACGTTTGCCAAATACTAGTTCTGCAGAGGTAAAAGTAGTAGAACGACATACAGTATTGTTCATGGCTAATGCAACCCGTTGAAGGTGGTCACTCCAATTTCTGCCTTGATCGTCTGTCCAAGCCCGTAACGCCTGGGTAACTGTCTTGTTGGAACGTTCTGATATGCCGTTGGTTTGTGGATGAAACATTTGTCAGGTCCTACTCACAGTGTCCCTTATAGCTGCTCAGCAGTATAAAGTATCTCTTATCTTAAACAAGGGGGAAGGGCTATCTATGTATATGTTAATTCCAATTAACAATATACGTGTACGTGTTGGGACCAATTAGCAAGGCTATCCTGGACTTGATAGGGGCTTGCACTAACCTAAGGCTAAAGACTTCTTGTCGGCTTAGCTAGTATAATTTGAATAGGCCTGTTTGCTTGCGATTCCTAGTTCATAGGCAAGTCAGATGTATTTGAGGTCGCTGGGATCCTTGAATCTATGTAAAACTATCTACTTATATAGACTTCCAGAGCCCTACTGGCTTACTCAGCTTTCCCATATTTCCCACCCATCTGAACTAGCCATCCTCTTAGCTTGCAGCGCTTTCTTGTGATTTGTTACGGGATTAAGTCTTAGAATAGTAAGGCTCGTGATATTTTGGAAGCAGATTCTATGTAAAGAAAGTGTCTCTATGTATAGAAAGTAACTGGGGCGTCTCCTGAATTGAATTTGGGGTGGAGAAGGATGAGGGTGCTCGAGTGTCTAGGTCTTGGTTGGAGATATCGGTTTAAGTCGGAGTTGTTGTATTTTGGAGCTAAATTGCTGCGCAAGTGTGGTGATAGCAATGGTTCTAGATATGCGTAGCTCCTGGTACGATATGATTGCTGTGATGTACCAGAATAGACAAGAGGGGTGCCACAAACAAGGAAGTAATGACGAGTGTTGAGTGAAAGAGTGTCGCAACGCGTCCAGCTCAATAATGAATACGTAATTAGAGGTGTGATGACGTGGAAGCTGGAGCGCGGTCGTGACAACGCTGTAGACATCTTCAGCTTGGTACCCAATAACTCACTCAAACGTTTCCACGCCGCTGCCGTAAACAATAGGGGTATTCAATTTGGCGTTTAAGAGCGCTCTTAAACCGTTTTGCTCGCTTAGGTGGTCAGGACTCAGGGACATGTAGATCTTACCCTGAGCAGGGTCCATTTTTGCATCTTGACGGCTCCAAATCGGACCTTCCCGATGAGGCAATTTTGCCAGTTTAAGAGCGCAAGTTTAGTAGTGGGTCATGACCCACTCTTAAACATACCGCTCTTAGACTTGAGAATGCAACTGACAGAAAAACGTGACGCGTTGACTTTTATTTCTCTTCTCTATCCATTGTAAAATCCCCTTTCACTCCCCTTTCCTTCAACATCTGCTCTCAACATGCCCACCGACACTGCTAACAAGTCAAAAGGCAAGCGCCGCTCCACCAGCCAAAGTGCCTTGCCCCCCCCCCCAAGCGGACCCGTACTGCTAATTGGAACAAGGATGTTGGCACAGATGGGAACTCTACCGAGTACCATCTTGTGCAGTGGCTTATCATGCGCAGTGGCCGTTCCATGAAAAGCAATTTTGAGCGTTTGAAGACATTGCCCAAAGGCGGCAACGGGGGTCGCGCCAACCTTCACAAGGGTGCGATTCAGTACCTCGTGGAGAAGGGCTGCTCCAGTGAGCGGCAACCGGACACTGTCAAGGCAAAGGTGAGCTTTCATTCGACCGCCATAGCCTATGCAGATTATCACTCTGACAACCTATAGATCCTCTCGTTGAGAAAGAGTTACACTGAGGCCTTGCAGTTCAAGAGCAGCACTGGGGCTGGACAGCTTGATGGGGAGGAGCAAAACAGTGAGTCACAATCAGCCATCTACTCTGCCGGTCTAGAGTACGCTGAAACTAACTGCACACACATTCACTTAGGCGGTGTCCTCAAGAGGTGCCAGTACTTCGACAATGTGAGAGGAGTAATTCCTCTTCACTGACAGCAGCCGCGAGGAGGGCGAACAGCGAAGGTCACAGCTATGGCTATCTGGATGGAAGAACGGCGAAGAACGGCGAAGAATGGCGGAGAACAGCGGAGGGTTGAGCGGGGCGGTGCAACCTGAAGTGAAACAGGACCCCAATACATATATGTCACACAGACAGGAAAAGGCGGTGACTCTGGGCAGAGATCAGTCCTAACTCTAACGAAACGCACACACAGGCACCTGAGCTGTATAGCAAAGGGCAACGGACAGGGGAACAATGATGGGTATATACGTACCTGGGCAGAGATCAGTCCTAACTCTAACGAACTGCCCAGGTTTTAGCTATGCACTCTAATGTACAAGGAAAAAAGGGAACTCACACGCACACACAGGCACCTGAGCTGTATAGCAAAGGGCAACGGACAGGGGAACGACGACGGGCAAGAAAGAGAAGCCACGTCAACGTTCCACCAAGTCCTGCCTGCACGTGCGGCGAGCTCCGCAAAACTCCAACGCTGACGCGGCATTACACATTACGTAAACACCAACGGAAGCGCTTCTAACTTGTCTAAGTTCTTTCTGCTCTTCGTCCCACAGCTTTATCAGGCTGCCTCCTGCATGCATGCATAGCAAGAGCGCTTCTCATTTGCTGAGTCCAAGCACTCAAATGCAACAGGCTGCCTTCCGCTAACGCTTACTCACATGCAGTCCAACAGTCAAGGCAGAGAGTTGCAGCCAAAAGGGTTGACAGGTCGTATGTTCAGGAAGGGTATGAGGCAAGCCTCTTACACTCTCCCCCACCTGGATGAGACCACGGGTCGAGGGTTCCTCCGGTGAAATGGTTGAAATACTATTAGACAGATTAGCAACGGTAAAAATCAAAGGTCATGAAGAAAGGAAATAGTTAAAGAAAAAAATTCCAAGCACAGCGGCACCTATTCTCACAACTCCACAACGTCCACCATATCCAAATACAACTCATTATCACCCAAATACTCTTCCCACGCAGCATCCCAACCCTCATACTTCTCGGCTTCATCTCTACTCATCCACCAACCACTAACATGCTTGCCTGCCACTCATACTCGCACCTGAGGGACCCCGGGATGGCGCTGATTGGGTTTAAGAACCCTCTCTTCAATGACTTGTAGCACCCGGGGCGGGGGTTGTTGATCAGAGGAGAGAATTGTGGGGGAGACCTCGCCATGATATCTGGAGGAGGTATGGAACAGTTTCAGGAGAGAGGCATGGCGGCAAGTGGCAGAGGTAGATTTGGATAAGACAAGGTTGAGATCGTAAAGAGATTGGCGAGGGAAGGCTGCAGTGATGACGTAGGGACCTTCCCATTGCGGTATGAGCTTGGCTGAATTGCGAGGAGAAGTGGTTTTATACTCGTGTCGAAAATCTTTGGTGTTGAAATAAACCAAGTCGCCAACCTTGTAGACCACATCCGGCCGCCTGTGCCGATTTGCCTGAATAGCCTGAGAGTTCTTCGCCATCAACAACGCATCCCTCGCCATCTTCTCTTCTAACTCTATCTTCTGCGCTGCCAACTGCCATTCCTCCTGACTTGGTTGCACAAACCCAAATTCTCGCCACTTCTCTGCATCTTCCACCGTCTCGATTGGCGGCAATAGCAAGAGTCGTTTGCCATAGACTAGCTGAGCCGCCGAGGTTTTGGAAGTAGGACGGACAGAATTGTTCATAGCAAAGGCTACGCGCTGGAGATGGTTGGCCCATCGATTGCCTTGGCAATTTGTATACACGTGCAAGGTCTGGATCATGGTCTTGTTGGCTCGTTCGGAAGCACCGTCGGTCTGGGGGTGGTAGGCAGTAGACATTTTCAATTTGGTGCCGCATAGCTCATGGAGACGGTCCCAATACGAAGCCGTAAACAGTTTATCTCAATCAGAGACGATAGAACGAGGGAACCCAAATTTGGAAACCCAGTGATCGAAATATAACTGAGCAGCAGCGGAGGAAGTGACCGTGGTAACCGTAGGAATGAGCACTACCCATCCAGTGAGATGATCGGTAATGACCATAAGATAGTCATAACCGTTACTGGAGGGGAGAGAGCCAACAAAATCGATAGCGATATCGGCGAATTTCGAACAAGGGACGGGTAGAGAATGAAGTAAGCCGGCAGGTTTGGTGGTGGAAGACTTGGCGGTTTGACAGGGGTGACACGATTGAACGTATTCCCTAACGTCCTTCTTCATCTGAGGCCAGAAGTACTTCTCCATGATCGCCTCCATCATTTTCTCCACTCCAAGATGCCCCACTGCGTCGTGACACTCCTTCAAACAGTCCTCGCGCAATCCCTCACTCTCCGGAACACAAATTCTCTCTTCCGACTTCATCAACTCCACCGTCTTCCCTTTTTTTCCAACCACCGTAACCATCTTAACCCCTGGAGGACGCTCCTCTTCCTCTAACCACCGTCCCATGATGCCGTCTTCCTTGTATCCTTTTGCCAGACGCTCCAGAAAATCGTGATTGACAGTGGTAGTAATGAGGGAGAGAGCATTGAGTGACTCCTCTTCCGAGTGTAGGCGGGAAAGAGCATCGGCAATGACGTTGGTAGCGCCAGGAATGTGGGAGATGCGGAGGTTGTACTCAGCAAAGACAAGCAACCATCGTTTTTGTCTCTCGGATAAGTTTGGCTGCTCGAAAAACCACTGGAGAGTTGCGTGATCGGTGAGAACATGAATGGGAAGACCCAAAAGAAGGGGGCGCCATTGCTTGAGAGCATGCACAATGGCAAGCAATTCTTTCTCGTGAACCGGATAATTCTTCTCTGCTGGTAGGAGAGCACGAGAGTCATAGGCGATGGGAGCCGCGTCCTCTGCTTTGGGACCGCTGCCTAACCAGGCTCCTATTCCCGTATTGCTAGCGTCGGTGTGGAGATATAATTTGGTCTCTCCTGCAGCGATGGGGAGTAAGGCTGGTGATATTGGCCACAAGATCCTTGAGCGTGACAAAGGCGCGATGGGCCTGGGGAGTCCAATCCCAAACCCAAGGCAAGACAGGGAGAGAATGGGAAGGTTTCCCACGCGCAAGAAGACGTTTTCGAACGTCATAGGCCTTCTCCGCAGCTTTGTTGGGGGGGAGGAGGCCTGATAACACCAAGGAATGAGTAGCGATATTGGGGATGAATTTTCCAAAGATATTGGAGCAAACCCAGGAAGCTACGCAGTTCTTTGACAGTGTGGGGGTTTGGCCATGAGCTTAGAGTAGATACTTTCTTTGGGTCCGGGCCAATAGAGTTGTTGGAGATGACATGGCCCAGGAATGTGACCGAGTCGGCAAAAAACACCGATTTCTCTTGAGAACAACGCAACCCACTCTTCCTTAACGCCTCCAGAACCTCTCGAATCCTCCTCTCCAACTCTTCATCATTGTCCGCCCACACTATCACATCGTCCACGTACGCCTCACACGTCTCTCCAATCAATCCCCTCAGCGCTTCGTTAACACGTTGCTGTTGAGTCGCAGGGGAATTGCGAGCACCTTGTGGCATGACTACCCATTCATACAACCCCCATGGCGTAGCGATAGCTGTCTTCTCGATGTCTTTCTCCTCCATTAACGTCTGGAAGAACGCATCCGTCATATCCATCTTGGCAAACACCTTGCCCAAGGCAGCGCGTTGAAGGATGTCCTCAATAAAAGGGGGGGAGGTTTGATCGGGTATGGTGACTAAGTTCAACCCACTATAGTCACAGATGAACCGGAATTTCTCATTTGTCTTTTTGATGAGAAAGGCAGGAGCAGCCCAGGGAGAACTGGAAGGTCGAAGACGGCCTGCACGGCGATGTTTTTCGATCTCAGCAAAGAACGCCTCCTTCCAGGCAAGAGGGACGCGAAAACCAGGACGGGCAACTGGCTTCACACCAGGGAGGATGTCAATACGATGGTGTACTTTGGATGTGTCAGAATAGACAGCCGGGTAGTTCTCCACATTCCCTATGTCACTGGGGAGGACGTCGGCGAAATCGGTATGAATGGATGCTATGCGCTGTTGGCGTCGAGGAGAGATAAGAACAGTAAATTGAAGGGTGGGATCGTCAACAGCGAGAGAGCAGACGTTGGAAAACTGGGGATTGGCATGGACAGAGCGACCTTTGGCCATGAGTTTGTCGAGCCGAGCCGCACCCTCCAGTAAGCGGTGGTGGAGGCAGAAGGGGAGGCCAAAGATGATGTCGACACAATGAGGGGTGGGTAGAATAAGGAATGAAGAATTCTTGTAACGGGTTGGGCCAATAAAAACATCCATCCTGACTCTGGTATCGACAAGTGGTCCAGGTCTGCCATCCGCCATACGGGTCTTCAACGGCTTGACGTTCTCCTTCCTCAACCCAGCCGCCTGCACGAAACTCTCACTAACAGTATTGATGGCCGCACCAGGATCAATGAGACCTGTGGTGATAGGAGAGTCAGCCAAAAGACCAACGTCGACAAGGATAAGGGGGACTGACAAAGCGTCGGCGCAGTCGATATCGTGTTCAACCATGGCAGCAAACACATCGCCATCCTCGTCGAGATCATCAATAGAGAGGTTGGCAACAGTGGCGGCCGCTGCACGAGCAGAGAGCACTCGTGGCTTTTATGACCAGGCCTACGGCACCAGTAGCAGAGGTCGTTTCGGTCGAGGAAAGCCCGGGCACGAGCGCCAGCATCGGTAGACTTGTCTGGGAGTTTCTTCTCGTTGATCCATTGGGTTTCTTCCGCCGTCAGAGAACGGCCATTGAGCTGAGCAGGCGGAGCAGAGGAAGGGTTGGGGACATTCAATGGCGCCGAGGGACGAGAGGTTGCGGCGGAGGACTGACGAAACTGCCGAGTATAGGTGGCAGGGGGAGGGGCTGGGAGTTCCGTGGTTTGGAAGATGCGATCAATAATGTCACGCAGGAGGGGAAGAGAGATTTCTGAACGACTAAGTCCTCGATCGGCAAGACGATCCTCAACTCAAGTAATGATGTTGGAGGGGAGACCAAACAGAAGCTTTCGGCGCATGTCGGAATCGGTGATGCCGCCGAGACAGTCGCCAAGAATCATCTGACATTCTCCAGCCTTCTTCTCAAACGTTTGCCAGGCCGACAAAGTCGATCCCTGGCACTGGAGCCCTTCAAACACTCGTCGAGTCTCGGACTCCCAATTGGTCGAGAGAGCCTGCTTCTTGAACTCCTCACGCCAAGCTTCCCACGAAACGCAGGCAGCACCAGTGACCATAGACCAATAATGGTACTCGTCTACCTTGGCGATGGACTTATTCGCTCGAGCAACCCGCCATTGAGAAGCGGACGACGTGCCATCTGGAGAGCGAGAGTCGTATTTAACGAAATAGCGCTGAAGGTCGTGGAGATGTTGAACGACGCCAAGCTGGGACGCACATGAGGATGACAGCATGGGGAGTTTAGGAGGGTCGACTTGGGCACGTTGGAGCTCAGCTTGGTTGCGGTGCATTTCGTTGATAATGATGCGGAGGTCGTCATACCCAACGCCCTGACTGGACGTCTGACCGTCGGGTGGGGAAGAAAAGTTTTTGCAGCATTGCAGCTAGCCATGTTGTGGAGCTCAAGGAGGTTTTCAAGGTAGTGCTCATGGGACACGCAGAGTTTGTGAGCAGATTGGTTGCAGTAGACATTGAAGCCCAAGAAGTAGCTCACCAGACCAAAGTCTGAGCATGGGAAAGCGGTGTGAAGGTCGTGTTTGAAGGCATCAAGAGCAGGCCAACTGCTGCACAATATTATTTGATAGTCTACATGGACTGAGAAGGCTTTGTTGAAACACTGGGGGGCTTGGAGGAGCCTGTAGAGGGTTTTCTGCAGGTGCAGAACATGGGTGGCGGGAACATGGCTGTGCTAAGGAGGGGGGAGATAGATGGTCTCAGACAGATCGCCATTGAGAAAAGCTGGTTTGGTGTCAACTTGATCACATTTGAGGTCATGGTAATTGATGCAACGGCAGCAAACAGCTCGCTGTAGTCAATGCCCTCCCGTTGACTGTAGCCCTTGGCAATCCAGCGGGCTTTGTAGGCTGCTGGTCTGCCCGTATTCCATCCAGCTTTTGACTGAACACCCAGCAAGCACCAAGGACCCGCATCTTCTTCTCCTTTGGGATGACATCCCAGACCTTATTGTAAGAGCTGTGGTTCCTCTTCACTGACAATGACGACTAGGGCAAACGGCAATGGACACAGCAAAGGGCTAGCTGGACAAAGAACGGCAAGAAGGACAACGAGAACGGCAAAGAACGGCGAGATTTGGACGGGGCGGCGTGGCCTGAAACAAACAGGACCCCAATTAATATATTTGTCACACAGACAGCAGAAAGTGGTGACTGGGCAAGAGTCAGTCCTAACTATTCTCTACTGCCCAGGATTTAGCTATGCACTGAAAGAGGTAACAAGAAGGGAACTCACACACACACACAGATGCCTAAGCTGTAAAGCAATAGGACTCAAGAAGGGGAACGACAATGGGCAAAGAAAGAGAAGCCACTTTGACGTTCCACCAAGTCCTTGTCTGCGCATGCAGCAAGCTCCGCAAAACTCCAACGCTGACGCGGCGTTGCACATTACGTAAACACCAACAGAAGCGCTTCTAACTTGTCTAAGTTCTTTCTGCTCTTCGTCCCACAGCTTTATCAGGCCGCCTCCTGCATGCATGCATAGCAAGAGCGCTTCTCATTTGCTGAGTCCAAGCACTCAAATGCAACAGGCTGCCTTCCGCTAATGCTTACTCACATGCAGTCCAACAGTCAAGGCAGAGAATCACAGCCAAAAGGGGTTGACAGGTCGTATGTTCAGGAAGGGTATGAGGCAAGCCTCTTACAGCCCGACCCCACACTCATCCCTCTCAACTATGTTGACAAGGATGGGCATACTCTTGATGCTGCCGGCGCTGTTGGCCGATCCTTTGTTGGTGTTACCCCAGAAGGCGCCATTGTCCTTGGTCCTACTGTCCCTCTCCGCCCTGACGGGCCAGATGCGCGCACTCGCAACCCCACCCCTTTCTCTGACCACAACAACCCTCCTCACAAGCTGCCTGGCCGTACTCCTCGTGCCCCAGCATCCGACGACAAATCTACCCGGTCTGCCTTTGACTCTAACAACTTGCGAGTTGTTGTTCAGATGATGCAGACCCAGCAGGCCAACCTTCAGCGAGACCTGCAGCGCAGCCAAATCGACCCTCCTAAACTTCCTATCCTCGCCTCCCTCAGTACTTCTCCCCTCGGTGTTGTCTTCCACCTACAAGATCTTGATTGCTACTTCGCCGATTATGCCTCTTGCTTCCCCGGTGGCGATCGAACCTCTTCTCATTGGCAAGTCACTCAGGCGAACCAATCCATTGCCAACATCGTCACCTACCAGTACTGGTCGATGACTACTGGCGCTGCATGTACTTCCTGGGACCACTGGCACTGCGAGTTCAAGAAAAAGGCGCTGTTGGAGGATTGGGAGGCGGATACGAGGTGAATGTTTGAGGGCTTGAAGTGCGACGGAATCTCGTTGGCAGCTTGGCAGAGGTTTGAGGAGAAGGCCAGCGAATGCCAGATGGTCATTAGTGATTGTCTTGGGCACATCACCGACGTCGACATGCGTCAAAAATTCTTGTATGGTCTCCCACCGCACCTTTATCAGCAGTCTTCGAGATAATAACGTTAATGTGAGGCTCACCTTTCCCTCGCATGTGGCCACAAAGGCAAATAGATGGTCGCGAGCGCAATTGTTCCACCCGTCCAACAAAAGTGTAACCATCTTCCCCTTCAACGCTTCCTCAACTTCCTTCATCACTTCCTGATCCTTCTTGGTCAACAACCTACCAGAAAGGTCCTTACGCGAGGGGATCTTAAAGCCCGGGGAGAGCTGTTGGAGGACGTCAACAATGATGGGATTCTTGATTGCGTTGAAGGATGAGCCCATGCCGCAGACGAGATTAAACAAAAGGTCGTTGAGCTTCTGCTGGGCTTGAGGGGTGACCTTCATCTCCACGCGCTCAAAGATGCTCTGGACCTCGTGAATGGCGGGGCGCTTGTTGCTGGCCGGGGTTTTAGCGGCGAGGAAGTGGGGGCACTTGTCGAGGTGGTTGTAAGCAGTGGCCTGCTTTCCACGACTTGGTCGTTTCGCGCCGCCTCTCGTGACTTAACCATTTTCAGCCGCGTTTCGGCGATCGCCGCCTCTCGCGACTTAACCATCTCCAGCCGCGTTTCGGAACCAAATCTTCCGGAACCAATTCTGCTCGTGTCTTGGCTATCGCCGACGCTCACGACGCCACTTGTGTTATTGCCGTTTCCCCGCTTGTCTCTGTTACGTGTTGTTTGCCACTTTCGGCTCTTCGGCCGAAGGTATCTTGTGTGGTTCGTTCGGTGAGATTTTCCCATTTCCCTTATCTTCTGCGTTCCTCAGTTCATATATTGATCGTTCTTGTCCAGTTTACATGCACAAGGGGTTTTGTTTGCTTCTCTCGACGACAAGTAGACCACCGACGCCGACCCAGTGAAGAGTTAGACGCCTAACTCTTACACGCACATCTACATGCGTGTGGAGGATGGCATAGAAACCCGTTGCCTTACTTGCAACACCATCCCTCTCCCTGCCTTGCGTACCCTCATCAATCGAGTTTTCCATATGGAAGCTCCTGCCCCAACCATCCCTGCCTATAACTCCTCGACTCAGCAACCTCGACCTGCACCACCCCCTCCTGCTCGTCCCTTGGTACCACCTCCCGCTCCAGTCATCACCTCTGCCGCCCCTACTACCCTCAACGGCCACGTCCTCACATCCGAAGAGCAAGGTTGGATCAACAACCGACAACTTCCCAACAGTGCAACAGACGCTGGCATACGTGCTAGGGCCTTCCTCAATTGCAATGACCTTTGCATTGGTGCCGCAAGGCGGGGCACAAGAGTTGTCAGTGTCCCAGTAAGGAGGCTGTGGTCGCCAACCTCAACCTCAACAGTGACGAGGATGGGGAGAGGTTCTATCGGGCTCTTGAAGATGATCTCAATGATGACAACCCCTTGTTGGTCCCTCTCATCATTGTCAACATCGGTCTTTCGGCTGACTCTCCCATTGCTACAGGTCTATTTGACCCTGGTGCGGCGATCAATACCGTCAGCGAGAGTTTTGTGAAGATGGCGGGGCTGAGGAAAGAGAAAGTGACACCCTTGAAAACTCGGATGGCAGATGGGCGACCTGGACCGCATGTTGATACCAGAGTCAGGGTGGATGTTTTTATTGGTCAAACTCTTTACAAGAACTCCCCTTTCCTCATTATCCCCACTTCTTGTCATGTCGACCTCATTCTTGGGCTCCCCTTTTGTCTCCAACACCGTTTGCTGGAAGGTGCTGCGCGGCTCGACAAACTTATCTAAAGTATGCCATCGTATCGACATTCTTCCTGGCGTCAAACCAGCTGCTCGTTCTGGGTTTCGCGTCCCACTGGCGTGGAAAGAGGCTTTCTTTCAGGAAATTGAGAAGCACTGTTGTGCTGGTCGCCTTTGTCCTTCAAGCTCTCCGTGGGCTGCCCCTGCCTTTCTCCTCCGTAAGACGAACGGAAAGGTTCCTCTGCAACTATTGTGGGCTGAACTTAGTCACAATTCCTGATAAAACCTCACCACCATTCATCGAGGATATCCTTCAACATGCGGCCTTGGGCAAGGTGTTTGCTAAGATGGATATGACCGACGCCTTCTTTCAGACATGATGAAGGAGAAAGACATTGAGAAGACGGCTATCACCACGCCATGGGGCTTGTATGAATGGGTAGTCATGCCGCAGGGCGCTTGCAATTCCCCTGCCACTCAGCAACGACGAGTCAATGAAGCGCTGAGGGGATTGATTGGCGAGACATGTGAGGCGTATGTGGACGATGTGATAGTGTGGGCAGACAATGATGACGAGTTGTAAAGGAGGATTTGAGAGGTTCTGGAGGCGCTAAGGAAGAGTGGGTTGCGCTGCTCTCAAGAGAAATCGGTTTTCTTTGCTGACTCGGTTACATTTTTGGGCCATGTCATTTCCAACAACTTGTAAGCAGTGGGCCACTGCTCACGACTTAACCATTTCCAGCCGCGTTTCGGTGATCGCCGCCTCTTGCGACTTAACCATTTCTGCTTGCGTCCTGGCTATCGCCAGTGTTGGTGTTATGCTTTGATTCCGTTCCCTGCCACTTGTCCTATCTCCGCTTTCTCCGTCCGCTTCCGTTTCCGTTTCTGTGTTTCGTTCCTGGCTTCCTGCCACCTTTGGCCTTTTGGCATCTTGCCTTGTGTGGCTTGTTGCGCGACTGTTCTTGCATCAGGGACAGAGGACTTGGGCACGTGGGATCTTGGATCTTTATCCATCTCTCTTCTCCACTTGCCCTTCGTCCCTTCTGTCCCTTGTCCTTCTTTCTCTTTGGCTTGCTTCGCGTATATATATTAACGGACACCATCCAGGTGAGCCTATTCTTGTTGTGATTCTTTATCCATCTCTCTTCTCCACTTGCCCTTCGTCCCTTCTGTCCCTTGTCCTTCTTTCTCTTTGGCTTGCTTCGCGTATATATATCAACGGACATCGTCCAGGTTATACATGCAAAGGGGTCTTGATCGCTTCTAGACACCGCCACCAATTGATACAGTGAAGGACCAACGCTCGGTCCTTACACAACTCTATTGGCCCTGATCCTAAGAAGGTTTCTACACTGCGCGCATGGCCAAATCCCCACACCATCAAAGAGCTTCGCAGCTTCCTTGGTCTACTTCAATATCTTCGAAAATTCATCCCCAATATTGCTACTCATTCCTCGGTGTTATCGGCCCTCCTCCCCCCCAACAAGGCGGCTCAGAAAGCATATGAGGCCCGCATACGACTCCTTGCACATGGGAACCTGTCACACGTAGTTATTCCCTGAAGTGGCATGGCGCTGAGTTGTGTGGATGGTTGAAGGACGCGCGGTGTACATACTCAATTCATATCTCGTTGTCTACTCTTTCCTTATGCGATAATACCGAAAAGGTCTTTTCCCCTTCCAAAAACACCTTTTCCAGTCCCCTCCCCTGCTGCATCCCAGCAGGCCGTGACAAAGTTATGTCACAACTGCACCCCAGCTTCCACGTCATCACACGCTCTATTACGTAAATACCTATTGAGCTGGACGCGTCGCAACACTCATCACTCAACACTTGTCATTACTTCCTCATTTGAGACACCCCTCTTGTTTATTCCAGTACATCACAACCATCATATCGTACCAGGAGCTACGCATATCTAGGGACATTGCTATCACCCCACTTACACAGCAATACATCTCTAAGACACAACCAACTCTGACTCAACCCAATACCTATCTCCAACCTAGACCTAGACACCCAAGCACCCTCATTCTTCCTCACCCCAATTACGACTCAAGAGACGCCCAACTACTCTGTAACGTAGAGACACTTCCTATACATAGAAGACACTTCCTATACATAGAAGACACTTTCTATACATAGAGTCTGCTTCCAAGATATCGCGAGCCTTAGCAATTCTAGAACTTATTTTCATAGCAACTCATGAGAAAGCGCAGCAAGCCAAGAGAACGGCTTAGTCAGTTGGGTGGTGAATATGGGAAAGCTGAGTAAGCCAGTAGGGCTCTGGATGTCTATATAAGTAGATAGTTTCACATAGATTCTAGGATCTCAGCGACCTCAAATACGTCTGACTTGCCTATGAACTAGGAATCGCAAGCGAACAGGCCTATTCAAACTATACTATCTAAGCCAACAAGAAGTCTTCAGCCTTAGGTTAGTGCAAGTCCCTATCAAGTCCAGGATAGCCTTGCTAATTGGTCCTGACACGTACACGTATACTGTCAATTGGAATTAACATATACATAGATAGCCCTTCCCCCTTGTTTGAGACAAGAAATACTTTATACTGCTGAGCAGCTATAAGGGACACTGTGAGTAGGACCTGACAAGTTATCGCATACAGAACCGCCTATGGCGTCCTCATTCCCCCTGACCCCGGGGAATACTCTTGACCGATCTGCCCCCGCCCCTCCTATCCCTCCTTGGCCGTTTAAACTCCATCAACCCTCCATCACCCTTCCCCCCATCTCCAACCTCATCCAATACACCCCCTCACCTCTCCCGCGTTCGGGCCCTGTCCCCACGGTTCTCCCCGTGCCGCCCCCCGCCAACACCAACCCCACTCTTCCCTCCCTCTCCCCTTTCCAGTTTGATTTGCTGACCCGCCATGACGCTTTCTACCCCATCTCGTCCACACCGGTGGCCGAGCGACTTTCCGCCTCTCCCCCTGCGCCCAACCCCGCGCCTGCCATGTAAGAGGTTGTGTTCCTCTTCACTGGAGATGACGACTAGGGCGAGCGGCGATGGTCACAGCTGGGACTAGCTGGACGAAGAACGGCAAGAGGGACGACGAGAACGGCGAGATCTAAGCGGGGCGGCGTAACCTGAAGTGAACAGGACCCCAATTCATATATTTGTCACACAGACAGTAGAAGCGGTAATCTGGGCAGAGATAGTCCTAACTCTAACAACACACACACACAGATGCCTAAGCTTTACAGCAATAGGACCAAAGACGGGGACAACAACAGGTATATACGTACCTGGGCAGAGATCAGTCCTAACTCTAACAACCTGCCCAGGATTTAGCTATGCACTAATAAACAAAGAAGAAGGGAACTCACACACACACACAGACGCCTAAGCTTTACAGCAATAGGACCAAAGACGGGGATGACGACAGGCAAGAAAGAGAGGCCACGTCGTCGTTCCACCAAGTCCTTGTCTGCGCGTGCAACGCTGATGCGGCGTTGCACATTACGTAAACACCAACGGAAGCGCTTCCAATTTGTCTAAGTTCTTTCTGCTCTTCGTCCCACAGCTTTATCAGGCCGCCTCCTGCATGCATGCATACAGGAGCGCTTCTCATTTGCTGAGTCCAAGCACTCAAACGCAACAGGCTGCCTTCCGCTAATGCTTACTCACATGCAGTCCAACAATCAAAGCAGAGAATCGCAGCCAAAGGGGTTGACGGGTCGTATGTTCAGGAAGGGTATGAGGCAAGCCTCTTACATTCGCACAACCCGTGGGTAGCGCAATACACTTTCTCCTTGGGCAACTGACGGCGCTTGCCATTGATGGTCACCCAGACCTCGTGCTTTCTGGGCGGAAGGCCCGGAAATTGGGGAGGCTGAGAAGCTGGTTTGGTGGTGTGGGAAGAGGAAGAACGAGAAGAAGAAGAAAAGGGATTAGAGGTTCTGGGTTTGGAAGAAGGAAGGGCTTGTAACTGGGTATCAATATGACCAGCCACAGCAGCGAAAGCAGAAACAGTGTCTGGGAGGAGTCCTCCTTGGGGCATAACGACAGCACGCAGGATATCCGGCTTCAAGCCGTCCTTGAATTGCTCGACAAGAGCGGTCTCATTCCACCCAGTGTAATGGGCTTCAGCGAGGAAGGAGGTGTTATGACGGGAAACGGTAGAAGTTTGTCTGAGAGCTTTCAGACGTTGGATGGCCAATACTCTGATTTTATCTTATAATACCATTTACATTTGATTTATCCCTAAAGTTTGTAGCATGATTCCAAAAATGTAGAGTTTTGTTACAGGCAGGCTTGTGCTTCAGCATGTCAACCATCTTCATTGTCATGAGTCAGCAATATCCTTAAAGCACAGAGACACAATTCTGGCAGCTTAGACACACAGAGGAATACTTCTAGGACATTTGCGACAAACTGCTTTCCCAAGAAGACTCATCACTTAAGAGGGGATAGGATGCAATTGTAAAGATCCAGTAGTCAGATCCCGGGGTGTGAGTTAACAAGTCCAAATACCAACACATGCCTTATGATTCCAGAGTTGAAATTGTAATGCAGTGGCTTTTGCTGCTCATTGAATTGATTGATCTTACTTGGTATTTAGGTCCCTTACAGCAATCATCTACTTAAACTGGTGGTTCAATGGAAGACAGACCCTACACTTGTCAGTTGAAGTCATGCATGAAAGTCATACATGAGCTCAGGGAGATCAGACAAGCAAAAAGATGTGGGAGATTATGAAGAGTGAATGTGTACAAAGGGGCAGTTTGATTGAGTCTTTGTGAACTTATGGTGATCAGGCCTGCCTTGGGGAGACACTTGTCAGATGCACCAAGTGTATTTGTGGTTGAGTCTAAGCACATGGGCAGGAAGACACTGGAGTGCTTGGGCAAGGGCTTTTAGCGTAGCTGGGAAGTCAAAGGAAGGAGAGGAGGTGAAGAGATGTGCATGAAAAGAGGTCTCAATCTCAGCACCTTGCTTCCTTATATACATGAAAGTCCCTGATGTATGGGTGGTTGTGGGACTAAGCTAAAAGGTTATGGTACAGAACGGTTCAGAATAAGGACAGGGCACAGGTACAGGGAAAGGCATAGGTAGAGCTGATCACTATCAAGAGAAAGGAGTACGAGTAACATACAAGTATGTGCTAAGGATAGTTCATGTGTACTCATCACCAAAACGCAGGCTCATGAATCTGGACTTGGCTGGGCTTGAAAACCTTTATCAAGGCCCCAAAACCCATTTCAAGCCAAATCGGATACCAACCCTTACAGGGGATTCGGTACTAGCCCGTTTGAGTGGAACTACTTTAAGCGGACTTGGCCGCCAGTTTGAGGCGCGAAAAATGTTGCTCAAATTTTTGCCGACTCCACTTGTCTCACTAAAACCATCCAGGTGGTTTTAGTGGCTCTGGTTGTGGCCAACTCAACTCATTTGAGGGTATCCACTCCAACACCGGTACCGAAGGACCCCACTTTCAGTTGAGTGATGTCACCTCAACCCATTTCTGTCGGACACCGCCGCCCCTAAACTTGTTGAGTGAATTTATATGGAACTCCACTCAAACAGGCCAGTACCGAATCCCCTGTTAGATTGGATTCTATTTAAGGTCCCAAGGCCTTGAAAACCCCCTTATGCACGCTTGAAAACCCATTTCAAGAGGCGATCAACTCCTTATGGTCGTTTGATAACGACACCATTCCCACTTTTGCACTTGAGAAGGTTTGCCGGGGCTTGGATGCATTAATCAGGTTTTGAGAACCATCATCAAGGTGCCGCAGGTATCTGGCTCACGCACCCCTCAATACATAGCACAGGCAGGCGGCTGTAGCAAGCCTGGAAGCTGTCGAGATACTTTGTTCTGCATTCTTTATTCTACTTGTACATAATATCCTACCTGCACCTGAACATTCAAGGGCCTAGGACCCTGTGAAGACCTCCATACCTTGCCTCTGCCTGGGACCACAGCTTCTTGTGCGCCTTCTGCTTATGCACAAAGTTGTTTGGGATCACGCGCCTGAGGTGCAAGCCTCGTGTCAGTCATGTATCCAGATGAATCTTGATGCGGTAGAAAGGGATCACGACCTAAAGTAGTCCTCGACAAGCTTGGGGGGATGACATGCCCTTGAAGTGTCCAGAGATCTTGAGGTACTGTCCCACAAGGTGGAGCTTGTTGGCTTCATCAATAGACGATTGGTCTGAGAGGAGGTACAGAATCTATCCCAGCGGGGCGTCAGCCAAGGATGTGAGGTTGGAGTCCATGGAGCCAGTGTTGTCGTTGGGGTCAGGTATCTAGGCATGTTGTGAGACATCCTCTGTGAGTTCTGCGTGTGGTTATGGTCAGGTGGGATGTCAGTAGTACAAACCAAACAAGGGCAAGAATGAAAAAGTTGGGGGGCTCTATCGATCTATATATATCCATGGCGGGCAGCGCTAAGTGGCGCGGGGTGACATGGACGTCAGTCGGTGAGTTGGCAATACCCAAGTGTGGCGGCTTGTCCTACCAACCAAGGCCTTCATACAAGTTGTCAGCGGCAAGACGGTTGTTGTTGTGAGAAGCTGAGGCTGAGTGCTGCGATGTTGGCTGCAGGCTGTATTTATGTACATCTAGCCAAGTGGGATTGCCTTTTCCAAAACACAACCCCAATTTGCTGATGAAAGTGCAGGGCTGAGAGCTTGTTGGGGGGACTGAAAATTGTATGCATAGTGAGGTAAACAAAGAAGAACAATTATGGCGGTTTTGTCAGTGTTGATGCCATGGCGCAGTGAAGAGGGGCAAGCAAGAACAAAGCAATGCCGGACTCAGAATGTACCATGCAATCCAGTTGGGTCATCCAGGGCTGTCAAGGCCATGACAATGCACTCAAGGCATGATAAAGTGTAAGTCAGTTATAGATATGAACTTGAGCAAGTTCTCATATGAACTTGAGCGAGTTTCCAAAACCGCCATTGGCCTTGACGCGCCTTGAAAACATGAAATGCCCAAAACTGGGCTTGAAAATATGGCGCCACGGTTGGAAAACCCCATCAACCTCTGCCAGCCAATTCCAAGATGTGCCCCCAATTTGGTGATGTAAATAGTGCCACCCTAGATAAAAGGGATGTAGTACACAAAGAGGGACATGAAGAGAGACAGAGACATTGAAAGAGATGGTGACAGAGCTGCATGGGGCAAGATGGAACCAGGCACACAACATAACTTATGATTGACCATTTTGGATCAGGGCTTGAAACCCCCCTCTTAGCTTTATATACCTAGTATGAAATCATGTTCAGGGGCTTTACTGGTCAATATACCAATCTCTCTCATATGCCAGGCTAATTTGCATAGTTGGCTGATATGCCTTCCTACTATGCCAATCTCTGTGACTTCATCAGGTGTTGTGCTACATCATGATGGACTTATAGAAGACCATTGCAACAAATCTTTTCTTTCTTTTGATCTTTTCTTCTTTATGCCTTTTACTGCTTAGTGCCATGCTAAAGGTTGTTTGGTCCAAGACTTTTGTATGCCCATCCCTCCATTTTAATTCCACATGTCAGGAAAAAAAATGTCTTGCAAGTATCACGGATTCTGCTTTCATTACCATACAATACCAGAGCTTCAGTACACAATTTCTTCCAAGTGAATTTTAACTACAAACCAAGGACCAACACAGTCCTAGAAGGAGCATATACCTGCAGCCAGTTCTTCCTCCCATTCCACTCAGATGCTGTTGTGTGATACTTGCTGTTGACATCAACCCGGGCATGACCACCAAATCGTTTATCATCACTGGTGAGCACCACTTTGTATACCCCAGATGCTTCAACTCCAACTCTGTAGTCCACAAAAGACTGAGTAGGATGGACTATGAAAAGAATAAAAATTAGTGTCTGCACAATTGGCAAAGAATACTGCTTACAGTTGAAGATGAACAGAAGACCCGCCCTCTCAAACACAATCACCTTGTCACCTTCATGCTTGAGAGAAATATAGGCCTGTGGACAATGAATAATGATGAGCACACCCATACAGCCACAAAGAGAACAGACAGAACACACCTGAGGGGCACTGAGCCACTTGAAGTGGCTTTCCAAATTGTTCATGACCAAGTCAAAATCATAGAAATATTTGTACCTCAGATTTTTGTCATCAACCAAGTTGAACTGACGGCGAGCATGGGAGAAACTGTTGTTGTTGCCTTCTCGGGGGAAATCCATCCATCTAGCAAGATACTTGGTCAGTAATAGAATTGCCATTGTGAGCATAGCAGCTTACTCTGGATGTCCAAACTCATTTCCTTCAAAGTTAAGGTATGCCTCTCCTCCCAAAGTGTGCACCAAGAATCTATGACACTGACATCAGTGACATTGCAAAGAAGGGAAGTAATCATAGACTCACCTGATCATCTTGTGAAGAGCCAAACCTCGATCAATAACTGGAGTTAAGGGCGAGAAATCTGACATGTTTTCATCTGAGATAAAGTGAGCAATCCCTCCCATACAGCTCAGCAGAATTGACTCACACATCTCTTTATCCATTAACCAGAAAGCCAACGTCTTGTCTCCCACCAAGGCTTGATCATGGCTCTCAGCATAAGCAACACTCTTCTCTTGATGACGTCGGTTGGTGAGGGTATGGCAAATGTTTCCAATATCCCACTCATCATCTGATTTTTCCTTGAGAAGCTTGATCCACATATCTGGTATGGCCATTGACAATCGATAATCAAAGCCCACACCACCTTCAGCAACTGGGCGACACAGGGTGGGCATGCCAGAGACGTCCTCAGCTATGGTAATAACGTGGGGGTAAACTTCATGAAGCATGGCATTGGCCTGTAGTAGCAAGTCAACAGCAGAAAAGAACAAGTTGAGAGGTACCCACAAGCATCAAGTATACCATAGCCTCTGTGTCAACACCTTCTCCAAAGTATTCATGGTAGCCACCTGACAGAACCCATATGGTGAGTCCATGGTCAATGACATGTAAGGCATGGCTCACCTGAGAACCCTGTTCCAATACCATGATGTTTGTACATCATGCTTGTGACACCGTCAAATCTAAATCCATCAAACATGAATGTGTCCATCCAGAAGCGCAGATTTGAGAGGAGGAAGCGAAGGACTTCGTGACTGCCATAATTGAAAAGGCGAGAGTCCCAAAGCTCATGGCGACCCTTTGCGCCTTCATGGAAATAGAGGTGGTCTGAACCGTCAAACATGTTGATGCTGAGACATGAGCTGTTAGTGAACTGTTGTTGCGCTGCAGCAACACATGTGCTCACCCATCTAGAATGTTTTTGCAAGCATGAGAGTGGACAACATCCAAAAGAACAGAGAAACCAAGCTCGTGTGCCTTGTCAATGAGAGATTTGAGTTCCTCCGGAGTACCTGTACAGGAATGAGCCCTTGTCACCTGTCTATACTGCGCACGTACCATAACGCGAAGACGCTGCAAAGAAGTTGGAAACCTGGTAGCCAAAAGCTGGGAACAGGCGTCAGCTGGCATATCCATGAGCGCAATAGTCCACCCACAGGCGTAATATGCGTGCTCCATGATGGCCATCCTGTCAATCACATGCACATGTTAGCAAAGTATGTGAGAATGTGACGAACTTACATCTGAATGCAGTTGTATCCAAGCTCTTTGATCCTTGGCAACACGTCTGTTTCAAACTCTTTGTAGGTTGTGACTCGCATGTTGGGGCTGGATATGCCCACTGTCCAGGATAGTCAGCGTCGTTGATTAACACGGCGCATAATACACTCACCATGAGCCTCGTAGATCTTGAGCCCATCCACAGACTGCTGAGAGTGCCCATACTTGAACTGGTACGTCTCATTCTGAGGAGGATTCCAAAACCTTCCGTCATAGATAGGGGAGATGTTGAGATCTTGAGTGACACGGGTGAGCCAGGTGGGGATTCGATCGATGGAGGTGCCACCGGGGACAGTCATGGAAATCTTAACCATAGAGTCGTGAGGGATTGCACAGACCCCAGGAGTTATGGGCGGGACATAGCATTCAAACACGCCGAAGGTATCCTTCGTCATGGGGTTGGCCGTATGGGACCACTGATCTGTAGCGTATCAACATCTCGCACAAGAACAGACTGTTTACAACTCACTAAAGTCACCAATCAGTCTGGCCTCGAGGGCATTGGGGGCCCACTCCCGATAACGCACTCCGCCCTCGGCGTCCACTTGGAAACCCATTGTCTTGTATCCTTCAGAGAACTTGGCCAGGCCGCCCTCGTGCTTGTCGATGACGCTGCGTTGCTTTTGATAAGCAGCATATCGCTCCTTGAGAGAGTTGGAGAATGGCTCGAGCCTGCGAACGATGTGAGCGATGAACAGGATGCGAGGAGCGTGTGTCTTACCATGGGTCGAGTGTGACGACGCCTGTGCCTGGTGGGTGTCAGCGGGAAGGTGCGGGAGGGGCGGGCCAGAGGGGTGAAATGGGGGGCAAAGGAGAGAGATGAGGGACACACCATCGGCAGGGAGATGCTGAGACATGTTGAGATGCAGATGAGGAATGGGATGCAAATGGCCGGAAGGGGACTGCAGGTGGACTACAGTGACGTGGGGCCGCGGCGGGGAGGGCCGCCCCGTGTGGAGCCCAGCGCCGGTGACCCGAGGCATGCAGGCGGTCTGCCCCCCACTTACGCCAAAACTTTGTTGTTGCACATCTGAGGCTGTCGCTGTCTCTCTTGCACAGACAGCAGCAACACATAAGCAACACAGAACCCTCCAGCCTGCCCTCCGCAGAATGCCCAACTACTACGACGAGCTCGAGATAGAGGACTTTGCATGGGACCCGGTGGCAAATGTCTTCCATTATCCTTGTCCGTGTGGAGACCGCTTCGAAATCTCCAAGGGCCAGCTGCGAGACGGCGAGGAGATTGCTATCTGCCCTAGCTGCAGTCTCATAGTTCGGGTTATCTATGACTATGTAGGTATACCTGCACACACATGGTTGGGTGCCTCTGCTGACTTGAGACCAATGCTCAGCTGGATTGGGAGGATTACGTGACATCAGATGAAGATGGCGAGCTAGATGAGGAAGAGGTTGAAGAGGAAGAGGAAGAGGACGAGGATGGAAAAAATCAGGGCAAGGACGAAGACATCACTCCTGAAACCAGTGTCTCCCCTGCCACCGAGGCCGCCGAGACCAAGCCCAACACCCCACCATCGCCTAGCCAGTCACATGGCGATCTCGCTTCTCAACTAGGCGACAGACTCAATATATTAGGGGGAGACCAGAGGGACACAAAGGGTGAAGCAGAACGAGACTCTGGCGTTGCTACAAGTGACAGATAGCGAGTCATATCATGTCATGTCTAGTTCAATTGAGAGCCATCATCTCTCGTTCAAACCCCTCCCACTCGGCTTCACCACTAGATTCCTCACTTGAGCACGTCACTTGCGATATGGCTGACTTGCCAGATTTCCCCCTCGGAGGTGGCGCTCTCTGTACTACCTTTTTCTTCTGCACTCGCTGTCCTTTGCGTCGGTTGAGACTGGGTGTCGAATCACGATCCGACCCTGTCCTCGATGAACTTCTCGTATCTGTCTCCGACTCGCTGTCCGCTTTGGGTTTGTGTTTCCGCTCATTGTGTGCTTTCGGCTTTTGCTTTTGCGTCTCTCGCTCGATGCCATCTCTCCGGCCATAGCACGCTCGGATGACTTCTCCCCACTCGATCTCTTCTAGACAACAAGGGCATGAGCCCCGGTGTGGTAAGAGACTGCTCCCAGAGGGCGAATCTTGAAGCAAGCGCTCCGCAAGACACTGCAGGTGTGTGATACAGAGACAAGGTTCCAAACGGTCACTGGGGCAAAGCGCAAAGGACAACTGGTCCTGTCACATTGGCTGGTCAGTGTCAAAAGGACGCATCGCACGAAGAGGGGCTCACGTGACAATCGACCATCTTTTCACAACGACAACACCTTGCCACATCTTCATCTAGAGCGATCCGCTCTCTAACCTCTTCCCACTTCCCCCACACTCGCCAACCTTGCCGAAACTCTGTGTCCTTCACGTCGATCGGCCCATCTCTGCTCTGCACACCCCGCGTACTTTGCCTCCTCTTCCCTGTTGCACCCGAAACGCCGCCCAAATCCAACAGGGTCGTCACGGAAGGGTTCACAGCCTGGGGAATGAGATGTAGAGGATTCACAGGTTTCTTGCGAGTTTTGGGAGGTGGTTCATGAGCGAGAACAGTACGATGAATGGACTCGTACATGTCCTTGGCTTCTGTGACGAAGAATCGGATATGCAGGGGCAGTCCGGAGAAGGGAGGAAGAGCCAAAAGGGCATACGCCACACTGACACGCATTAGCATACATCTCGTTTCATTAAAGAAAAGAAGACGTACCATATCTTTCTCTCAACCCAGTTCCGTTTGGTGTCCTTTGGAAATATGGGCACTGTTTCTTTGCTTGATTCTGCACTTGGAAGGCGCAAATGACGCGATAGCTCTGGCTTTTGCCACGCCCATTCAAACTTGCTAAGGTGATCAGTCAAGTTCCAGGTCGTATCGTGACTCCGCTAGACGGACCTGGAGAGCAGTTAATTTACTCGGGAATCTGGAGAGGACTCAGCGATTTCGTCGCCAACTCTAGTCATACTTGCCCATATACAATCATTTGCATTTCCTGGGTTTGATTCGCTTAATCCACTGACTTGTTGAACCGATGAAGAACGCACCCATGGTCTGAATTTGAACGTAGCCCAGGCGCCTTGCTTCAATTCACCATTATGCTGCCGGATGCGCCTGGGTGGATCGGGAGTGGAGCCGACCTAAATGGAGCCGTCAGCTACGCCATACTCTGTGCAATTTCCTCTTGGCGTACATAGGTACGATTCGACTGGGGAGATGCTTTGGATCTGAGAAGATAACAGACGTATAATGCGGGGAAAGTGTGGTTGCCATCGAGAAGGGTCGAAGTCGTCTTCTTTGCCAGAGATGATGAAGGTGGTGTTTCCTCGTCAGTCGACATGGTCGCCGTGGCTAGGATGAAGCGAATGATACGACGAGTATGTACAGAGTTGCAGAATGAGACAACATCTTCTTGCCATCACGAGAAACAAAAGGTGACAGCGCTGCGGCGGCCGCCGGGTCAGCCAAAACCGTGTGCACCAAGAGCGAAAAGTCATTTACGAGCGCGCACAGTAGTATATCGCGTTAGAGAAAGCATACAATACATGAAAGCCAAGGCTGTACCGAAGGCTGTAATCAGACAGGAGAAAATATACAAAAAAATGAAATAGATGTCTTTGGAAAATAATAAGTAAACCAAGCGGAAACCCTCTCTATGCCTCTCCATCAATCTCCTTGAGAGCCTTCTCAAGCTTTTGTTGTGGGGTCACCCGGGGTTGCCCGTACACCTCGATTTTGGATATCAGATTTTGGATTTCTTCGTCGTCCAAAGAGAGAGACCGTATGAGCTCGCCGACCGCCTTATAAGCACCGGGGAAATCCACGGCATCATCGTCCAAAGAGACAACTCGCTCCTCGAGACTATGCGTGGTTTCAGTAAGACGCTCATGCAATGATGATTCACTTACATTTCCTTGAGCACTGCAACCGGTACGGCTTGGGCTTCCAGGGCAGCTTTCCAACCCTTCGCCACGACCTCCGCATCCCTCGGTTTTGACAGACGGAAAACATCTTCCAGCAAACGAGCAGCCAACAAGTGGCGCAGATTTTGAGGCAAAGAAGTAAAGTATTCCACGACATCCCCAGGATTCCTCGACCCTCCTTGATCCTTCTCACCCCATAGCTCCTTCATATCCAGATTGATCTTTTCTTTCGCCTGCTCCTCACTCAGATCCTCTTCAGACTCTTCAGACTCCCCACCCTCTCCATCCTGGGGATCTTCCTCCTCATCACCCTCAGTAGGCACAGGTTTGGTACGTGGGGCCAAAGATAACCTTTTTCGTTCAGGCGCTGGCTCACCGGCATCCGCACTGTCTCTTCTTGAGGCAGACGAGCCGGTATTGTCGTGGCCATCAGTCAAAGCACTGAACATGTTTGAGGACGTTGAGCGTGAGACTGGGGGAGCCGGAGAGGCTGTATTTCCTCCTTTCCTGCTGAAAACAGATGACGGCCCAGCAAAGCTAGGCGAGGAGGTGCGCGCCGAGCTACTGAGACCTCGCCCGATACCAGCAAAGTCAACCGGGCGACCGGCCACCCGAGGCCCACCAGGTACTGCTTGCCAGTCCCCAGGCTGTTGTGGAGGATCACGTCTACCACCTGCTCGCGAACCACCTCGAGACATGGATTCTCTAGCCGAGGCAGCATTCTTTTCCTTGGCCGCTTGTTTGTGAATTTCGGCGATAGTCATCACACTTGATTGGTTCTTTTGTGAACGGAATCCGTCTCGTCGAAGATCTTGAACGTCCTAGAATTTGTCAGCTGACAGGGAATCGCAATGTACATGTCGACACTCACCATTATCATAAAACGGATCCGTGATGGCAGGTCATCACTCTTCAGAATCTTCTCCAGAGCAGAGAAGGAACCGTCGAGCAAATCTGGGTTGGCCTTGACAAGCTTGTCACCCACCGTTGTCAAGAGTTTGCAGGCTGATTCGACGTCTTCCTCGTCAGGCCTTTCATAGTTGGCAAGGAGTTTTGTCAAGCACTCGGTGATGACCCGATAGGTGAGAATGTCCAACTTGTACATCTCTCCAATCAGTTGGACCAGACCGAGGCCTCGTCGCTTGGCCTTTTGGGCAGCATAATACTCGTCGCTCATGAGAACAGCTTCCTTCTCTTCGCCACCTTCCGGCTTCTTCTCCATCTCCTTTTCGGCCACCTTGGCGCCGTCTTCCTTTTCCTTGGCCGCAGCAGCCACGGCAGTATCTTCGCGGGCTTTCCAGCCACTTTGAAAGTCCTGCTGACATCGTCCGAGAAGATAGCGACGGAAAAGAGCCCGACCCGAGTACACCTTGTTATCGGCAGTGGTCTCAGTCACCGCTTGATCCAGCTGGTCATGAATCAGCCGACAAAGTTTGGCATACATGGCCGACCAATGGGCCTCGTCGGTAGCTTTCTCAAAGATGAGTTTGATGACAAGTTTGAGCGTCATGTGATCCTCTTCATTGGCAGATTTGTTGGCCCATTCCAGGATCTGCTTGGATATAGGGTCGAACTTTTCCTCCGTGAGCTTATTGAGGAGGGCCTTTACCTTTCGCTCAATGAAGGCGGGAGAGCTCTCGTCGTTGGCACCAAGTCGAGTTCGTGTCCAGGCGTTCTCAGAGATAGGAATTGCCGGCGCAGGTGGCGCCGTGGCTTGAGACGGAACGCGTTTGCTGCCACGCTGACTTGCACGGCTGGCACCGTTTCGAGAATTGGTGATACCCATTGACGGCAAACCCGAGAAGGAGCCGATGCCACCCGGGGCACCGCGGCCGCTGGGAGCTCGCGGTCCTAGGCTGGCATGGTAGCGTGACTCGCTGGTAGAACCACGGAGAGATCCCGGACCGGATCCAAATTGACCAGTGCCAAAGCTGTTTGGGAAGGAAGAACGAGCGCCACTGACGCCGAGACCAGTTGCCCCGGCACCAACAGGTACACGACTTGATGGGCCCATGGAAGATCGGCTCCCACGAGAAGAACCACCGCGGCCACCAAACCCGCTAGCACCGTCGACATCGAGACCGAGGTCCTCGAGAGGCGGAAGACTCTCTGGCTTTTCCCTGCAGACATTCATAAACTGCATCAAAAAGCCACGGTCGTAGCGGAATTTTCCGGGCTCGGCGTTCTTGTTGAGGTCGCTTCTGGGAGACAAGAGGGCATGGGGATAGTTGACAGAGGTGATGTCATCGATTGGGCGGGCACTGGTGAGAGCAGAAGCAGAAGCTGTGAGAGGAGCGGGCGAATCGGATGCTGCGGCAAGATTGAGTGCAGAGGGCGGAGTACGCTTGGCAGCACCGAGGGCGGCGACGGGTTTGGCAGGCAGTCCGGCACCCAGGGCTGGAGAGCCCATGGGAGACGGTGTGACGGAGGTGCTCGGGGTCTCGACGATGGCCCGACGCTGCTCCTCGGCTTTTGATCTAGCTTCCAAAGTAGCCGCGTGAGCTTTGGCCTTTTCTTCTTCCGCCTTTTCAGACTTTTCCAGCGCTGCTTTGACCGCTGCAGCCTTTTCTTCCTCGACCTTTTTGGCCGCGGCGGCTTCGGCTGCGAGGGCCGCCTCAAACTGCTTCTTTTCGTCCTCTGCCTTCTTGGCATCGGCTGCAGCCTGTCATTTGATCAATTGGCTGCCACCATCATTCACGTGTATGGGGACGTACCTTTTCAGAAGCGTCCTTGGCCTCTTTGTCCTTGTTTTCCTGCTCATCCTTCGCCTTTCTCTCCATTCTTTCTTTTCTTTCCTTCTCTGCAATATCATCTGCATCCTTGAGCTCCTTTGCCCGCGCTTCTTCCGCAATCCGTTTCTGCCTCTGCTCTTCAGACTCGATACGCACAACAGTGGGCAGGGCTCTTTTCTTCAAGACTTCCGATCCGGGGGTGGTTAACGCCGAGACCGGATTGGTGCTGGATGCGGTCTCTGCTGGTTTCGCGGCCTCCTTGATGTTTTCAAGATCGAGAGCAGTGCCATCTGGCCGCGATATCTTGACAGCAGCTGATTTCCGAGGTGCAAAGTTGGTAGCGTTACCAGAAAGATAAGTCGACGGTCCCCCGACTGTGCTGCCAGTGTTCTGATGCGGTATTGAAGCCACAGACGCGTTTGATAACGAGTGATGGTGACTGTTCATCAGACTGGGAGGGCGCATGGGAGGGGTAGGGACAGGACTTGCCCCTTCGTTTGCCACAGCCGGGGGAGGAGGCAGAGGGGATTGATTCGGAGGCGAGAGCATCTGGGATTGGGCTCTCGGCGATACAGGACCAGGAGCAGATGGCGGATAACCGCTGCCAAAGTGCTGTTGCGTTGACTGGGTCTGCTGGGGCACCCACTGCGAGGGCGGCCCACCAAAGTTTTGCTGATGCTGCTGCTGCTCATACGGATTGTATGCACCGGGCTTCACATCGACGACATTAGTGACCATCAACCAATGGCAGAGAGACCCACATAAAAGTTGCCTTGAGGAAAGCCCATGATGGGATACGGAGGTCCCTGGGGTCCGGAATGCATGCCGTACTGCCCCGGTCCCCCGCGCGGCATGTTGTTTGGCCTGATCTGGGGCTGCTGGGGCGCTCTGAAACCATGCTGGATCTGCTGAGGCGCGGACGGATTGAACTGCATATTGTGATTCGGAACCGGAGAGCGCGGGTGGGCACCTGGTGGCCTCATGTGAGGGGATCCTACAAAGGGCTGATTCGGTGATCCCGCCATCGGCTGCTGAAATGCACCTCCATTGTGTCCGAACGACTGGCGTCTGTTGTGGTGAATGGGTGCGGGCGGATGGTGGTGTTGTAGCGGAGACATGACCGGCTGGGGCTGGTGGGCTGTATGAGGCTGGGGTGGCTTGCTGGAGAAGAGGGCATGGATACCGAGCTTCTTGCCCTGCGATGGACCTGCGGCAGCGTTTCCGAGCACACTGCTTCGGCGGGAGCTGATTGCATCTGGACCGTCCTGCTTGTCGGCAGCGTCGATCGAGCCGAACGACCTGACGGCGTCGGAAAGATGGCCGCCCGTCATGGACGGGGCGGCGGGAGACGACGACAGCGCGGCGGTGGGCGAGTCGACGGTGCCGAAAGCGAGGTTGCCTATGGGCGATAGCATCAGCAGACGTCTTTTGCACACCTGGGAGAGGCAGTGATGCGGGGACCAACCTTTCTTGAATTCGCCATTGCCGGCTACCAGGAGGCTGTTCTTGCGCGAGTGGCCGCCACCGCCGATCGGGATGGCCGCAGGGCCGTGGTTGGGGAGGGCTGGGGCGGGATGGCTGGGGGTGCTTGTGCCGGAGGGGGCGTTGGAGGGGGCGTTGGAGGGGGCGTTGGACGGCGCTTTGGACGGCGCTTTGGACGGCGCTTTGGAGGGAGGCCCGCGAGCCCAGGCAGAGGTGGTACCCGTCTGGTTGTGAGTGGTGTTTTGGGGGACGGGCGTCATGGGTGTGTGTCCTGTACGATGGACTCGCTGGGATTCCAGGAGTATTAGGGACAGAGAGAAGAGAGATCCATTCACCCGCCGCATACATGTCACCCTCCCGACCTTACGTATCCGCCGCCGCCTCCACCTCTCTACTCTCTTCGTGTCTATCCGCCTCTTGTCACCATACCCCCCATGCCCCCCCGCCTCGCCCTGCCCGCTGCCCTCCACAGCTACCCCGCCGTCCTGGCCGCCGCCGCCCTCCTCCGTCTCGCAGCCTTTGCCCTCCCCAGCCTCCCCGACCTCCTACAACGGAGGCCCGAGATATCGACCCCGCTCGTCTCCTTTCGCAGCTGTCAGTCGCATGCACCCGCCAATCACTCTCCGCTGACTAGGGCATCCCGCAGTAAAAGAAGGCGTCTTTCTCTACAGCCATGGCACCAACCCATACATAGGGGGCACGTTCTATCATGCAAGTCGAGTGCGCCCATGCCTACAGCCCGACTAACGCCATGCCTAGTCTCCGATCTACCTAGGCATGTTCACCCATGTGGTCCCTATAGCATCACCCCTGGCTACGGCTGCTCTATGGACACTCGTCGACCTCTGGGGCTCGGGGCGCCTCTTGCGAATAGCAGGGGCAAGGCGTGGCAGTAGTGCTTCACGAAATGCACTTGTGGCTGCATTGTGAGTGGCAACTAGAGACTGGCGTCGTCTGACAACGAGCATAGATATCTCTTCAACCCATACACTCTGGCCACGTGCTTGGCAAGGTCGACAGCAAGCGTAGACACCGCGATCCTGCTCACCGCAATCTCGGCCGCAATTGACGGTATGTCAAGGCATAGTCAAAACAGTTCTGATGCTCGAATCAGGCAACATTTCCGTGGGATTGTTCCTCCTTACCATTACATCAGCAGCCTGCGTCTACCCGGTGCTGCTATTCCCGCCCATCATCATGCTTCTCTGGAAACACAACACAGTCTCTGGCACGCGACTGGCAATCCAATCTGTAGCAACGGTGGCCACCAGCGCGTCCGCTGTGTCCATTCTCGGTTATTTCATGGTCGGATGGAACTGGGTGCCGCACACCCTAGGACTCGTGTAAGTAAGCGTCTCCCTCTTGTCCTCATACTCACTTGCAGCAGAGTCTCTGTTGCTGATCTAACTCCAAACGTTGGGATGTGGTGGTATTTCTTTACAGAGATGTTTGACCACTTTCGTACTTTTTTCCTTGGCGTTTTCCAGGCAAGTCGTAATGCTCATTGAGCCGTGCTGACACCACACAGCTGCATACAGTCATCTATGTGGCACCCATCTGCTTGAGATTGTCTGACGATCCCTTGTTTGCACTATTGCTCTTGGTCGGCATCATCAGCACATGGAAGAGCTACCCGTCTTTGGGCGACATGGCACTCTGGGCCGGCCTTCTGGGGTGTTTTCCCGACATTGTTTCGAGTATGTCATCTCATCAGCCTGATCAGGGCGGGGCTCACAAACGGTTGCAGACTTGCGACACCCACTCTTCACCTTCACTGTCCACCTCTACACGGCCATCCTACTGCCCCTGCTCCATTCGCTATGGCTGCTCACCGGTACAGGCAACGCCAACTTTTTCTATGCTGCCACGATGGTGTATGGGCTCAATGCCAGTCTGGCGATTGTCGACGTTTTGGGAGCGGGATTGCGGCATAGAGTCAAGACGTCAGTGGACAAGTGGGCAACGGAGCAACAGTCGATAGATGGCGGCGCTGCTGATACCAAGATAGATTGGGATAGCAGAGGGTGGCACGCTGTTCAATTTTCTGCATAGGTACTTTCAAAGGCATATATTTTCAGCTCATGGGCTAGTTTGATCAGCTCGATCCCGTGCACTCTTGTTATACTTACAGGATGGTCGCGACAACCTTTCTTCCTGATCCTCTACCGCCCCATCCCGCGCCGCTATGCCTGAATTCCGCCAGATAGATACCTTGCCAGGTGCCGAGCACAAGTTTCCCCTTGGAGATGGGAATCGTGACCGAGTTGCCGATGAGTGAGGTCTTGAGGTGGGAAACAGAGTCGCTGAGGGGAATCAAACTGGGGTCTTTGAAATAAAAAAAGACCTACTCGGGTCCTTCATCAGTGTGCTCCCAGGGAAGAGACTCGGGGACGATGGTGTCGAGCGCCATGTCCATGTCTGTGAGTGGTCAGTACCAGTCAAGCACACCAAGCCGGGGTCCGCATACCGGTGCGCACAGTCCTGGATATCGGTCAGAGTCAGCGCCACGAGCTGCAGAGCAAGCGATAGACAGACCTGTCGCAATTCTCGTTCAGCTGCGCAACGACTTGTCAGCATTTGATCTTGGCGAATGAGGTATGGAAATTACAGTGAGACCCGCAGAGGTGTGGAGGCAGTGGAGGGTAAAGATGCCGACGTCGACGCCCTTGAGGCCTTCCTGGCAGGCATGCAAGACGTCGCTGGTGACGAGATGCATGCCCTTTGTGTTAGGGGGAAGGGTGCTACAGGGGTAAGCGGGGGAGGTGGGCGGGGATGAGCGCCGAGTGGTACGCACAACTGTTTCTGCCAGGGCATGGTGTCTGGTGCAGATGGCAGTGGCAGCGACAAGGCAGCGAACGAAGGCAGCGGAAGAATGACGGAGAGCGAGTGGAGGTGGAGGTGGAGGTGGAGGCGGGCCACGTGAAAAACGAGGTGCTGGGTGCGGTCTGGGCCCTGGAGTGCGATGCGGGTGACGAGTCTGGAACTGCTGTTGCTTGCTGCCCTGGTATAATAATATTATAATATCTGCCAGTATCCCATGCATACCCCTCCACTATCCATCCAGCGCACAATACACACCCACACCCCGGCTGGGACGGACGGCCACGCGTCAAGGAATCCTCAACACCATGGTACGCCTCTCCTCCCTGCCCCGCCCCAGCTCACATCCCAACTATCCCAGGCCTTTTCCGCCGCATACGTGCCATCCTCTCCCGGCCCATGGGAAGACAGGCTCCCCTATCCCGGCTACATTGCCTACCCCTCATCCGCCCCCTCCCGATCCTCCTCTGGCTCGTACGACCACGAGCGGGATGAGCTGCAGGCTGAGATAGACAGGCTGTGAGTCTGCCTTCCCCTTCTGTCGTCCAAAGGCTAGTTCTACGATTCAAGCTGCATCTCTTGTAAAGGCTCCCGTTGGTGCGCCAACCGACGGGGCAAGGACCGTTGCGGAAGGAGCTGCTTGGAAGAAAGGATCGTCCAGTGGTATCCTTCGCATTCGTCTCTTTGTGGAATCCACAAGCAATCCTTTATTCTGCGCCCAGCGCTGGATATATAAAGCCCTTACCACAGTGTTAAAGATGCAGCACTAACACCACACGTCTACAGAATGGCCTATACCGCAAACGTACGATCTCCTTCTCCGAACGACAGCCTCGTCGAGGACGACACCTACACCCCCCCAAAACCCTCCAACGCTCCGGATGCAAAGCCGACAAATATCCTGGGTGTGTTTGGTCTCTCAGTAAGAACCACCGAAAAGGATCTGCGCGAAGAGTTTAGCGTGTATGGGCAAGTTGAAAAAGTCGTCATCGTCTATGATCAGAGAGTGCGTAGCTGCCACAGTACCGCGGGCGTGTGCTGACGTTTTCCAGACCGGGCGTTCTCGAGGCTTTGGCTTCATCACCATGCGATCAGTCGACGATGCTTCCATCTGCATCACCAAGCTGAACGGCATCATTATCCATGGACGCCACATCCGAGTCGACTTTTCTGCCACTCGCAAGCCGCATGACCCCACACCAGGTCAATACTTGGGTTTTCAAAGAGCAATCCGTAAATCAAATCCAAGTTTCCAAGTAGCAAACCCAGCATTGCTTACACCTTGATGCCTTTCTAGCTGACGACATTCCTCTTGGACGCCCGCGATATGAAGAGTATAGAGGATACCGAGGCCCAAGATTCAGTCCCTACTGGGACTCGCCCGAACACAGAGGACGACAGAGACACGACGAGAGAGGTCGGTACAGGGAGAGGTGAGCCATCCACTTCAGGGACATGGACTCTGCTTATGCCATTGACAGGTACCCTGCCCGTGATTATGACCGCTACATCTCTCGTCCACACAGAGACGATTATGATTACGACCTGTATAGAACAAGGTCGAGAAGGTGAGCCTGCACTCGGGCTGTGTGCTCGGAACGCTAGCTAATCTGACATGAAAGCCCCCGCCCTGCAAGGTACTCGGCATCGCCCGAGCGCCCAGACGAGCGTTGCGCGCTAGATTACGACGAGCCCCGAGGCTCAAGGTTGTAGAAGTATGACAAAGCATCGTGTATTCCACCACCCATAGAAATGTACCTTCCGGTACCGCGTTGTGTTGTATCGTATGCATAATAATACATGAGAATAATGTTGTACTGCAATCGTGCTGTGCCGTCGGGGAGCGCCGCGTCTATCCTTTGGACCAACATAGAGACAACAGTCACCTCGCACTCACTCTCCACGTCCACAATGGCCGCTCAGCCTGCCCAAGCTTTCGCGTCGCACCTCATCAACCAGACCCTTTCCTCCATCGCCCTCCTCGAATCCCTCTCCCTCCTCAACCCCTCAGACGCCTCTCTCATCCGTCAGAAGCTCCCTTCACCCACCGGCCCCTTCCCCAGTCTTGCCCCTCCCTCCCCCTCTGCCTCTTTCACCAACCTCACCATCGCCCAGTCGCCCTCCTCATGGGCTGTCCAAAACAGGGATGATCCCTCCCCGCAGCAGTCACATTCCGTCGCCTCGACACCCGCGCCTCCGTCACTTCCGCCCAGGCAGCGTCCCCCAGCGGAGCAGAGAGCGAAGGCTTTGTGGGACTTCATTGGAACTGTTGGTCACATATGACTCCGTGGGATCGGCCTGACAGGACTTGTAGCAAGCAGATGATTTGCAGTTTCGTAGTGGCGACATACTCATCATTGACGAGGAGGGTGCGCACTCGGTCATCACACCCCAAACCTGTACTGATCATGCTCTAGTGAATGACCAGTGGTCTAGAGGAAGGGTGATACCCAACGGCCACCATGCGCCTCTCCCCAGGTCTGGCCTGTTCCCTTCCAACTATGTTGAAAAGATGTGGGTCGACTCTGGACGCCAAGAACGACGCTGACTCTTTCACAAAGCGAACCTCAGCTGCAACAATCTCATCAGCCCTCTCAGCAGATCCCCTACTATCAATCGTCGCCCGCCCCAGGCGGCATGGTACCCTATCAGCCACCTCAACAGCCATATTACGACCAAAAACAGCCCATGCACATGATGCCTCCCCAGCAACAGATGCAGGGCGGCGTAGTCGTGCAGCAGCCGGAACAGAACAAGGGCAAATTTGGCAAGATAGGCGGACAGGTAAGTGGTTTTGCATCACCACGTAGCAAAGCTGACACACTTGTAGCTGGGTACAGCTGCGGTAACGGGCGTTGGTTTCGGTGCTGGGTCAGCTGTTGGCAGCGGTATAATCAACTCCATTTTCTGATACGTTTTTACGCATATAGACAAGGTCGGTTGGAGATTCGAATATCGGCTCGTACTGATGGGCAACAGTCTTGGATGTGCATGATGGTCTACTTTAGCGATTCTCGTGCAAAGCACTCTTCTGTAAATGTATTCTTGTATACAACTATGACGCGTCATTACAATTCTTGATTCAATACGACAGTGTCTCGATTATCTTGTCAAACACTCGGATAACATCTGGCTGGTAGAACCGCTCAAAGGAGAGGGGGACAGGAGTACTTCTTGGGTCAGTATCGCCCAAAAATTTTGTAGTCCAACTCACTCCCATCCCGTCACTAAGCCCACAGGCGCCTCCAAAAACTCAAACGCCCTTCGATTAACCTCTCCAATAAGATCGTTACCCACTCCACCGCTCCTGCCAGCCTCATGAACAATGATCATCCGGCCGGTGCTCCGCACGGCTTTGACAATATCCGCCACAGGCAAGGGATTGATAGTCCGAAGGTCTATAAGTTGAATGGAGGGTGCGGAGTTGGGAGCACGTAATTTGGGAGGGAGTAGGGCGTGTAGCGCTGGGGGCGGAGACTGTATGAGAGAGATTGCTCGCCCTGTTTGGAGTGAGCATCGAAACAAACAACAGAGACCCAACTCACGCGCAATATGTAGAGGGGTACCGTATGATACAATGGTGAGATCAGTGCCAGGCTTTACCGTCTCGGATTGACCTATGGGCAGGGTATAGTCATCCACCGGGACCTCTTCCACGGCAGCCCGATACCTTGACCTATGTCAGTTCCCCAGCGTGGTGCCGACATCATGGCAAAACTCACAGGATCTTGGGTTCTAGAACAAGCGTGGGTGAAGGGTCGCGTATAGCTGCCAGAAGCAGTCCTTTGGCCTGGATGGGAGAGCGAGGGATGACTACCTTGAGTCCTGCGGCTCCGAGAAAGAAACCTTCGGGACTTTGACTGTGATACAGCCCGCCGTGGCCCACGCTGCCGATGGGAGCGCGAACAGTGAGGCTGCCTCCAGGTGGAGGGTAGGCTCCGCCGCTCGCGTAGCGTTGCTTTGCCGCTTCGTTGACGAGCTAAGCATGCACATGTGAGTGATTGTACCCTGGCGGCGACTTGGCCTACTTGATCAAATGCTGGAAATATCTGCACCCCAGTGTCAGCATTGGTCCCGGATTGAATGTAGCTCACATAGTCTCCGAATTGTATTTCTGCTATAGCACTTGCACCGAGACTAGCCAGGCCTATACCAAACCCCTGCAATTCCCGTCAGCACTGTCTCGGGCCCTGGTCAAACGCCTCACAGCAATGCCTTGTTCCGTCAGGGGAGTATTGAATACCCGTTTCTTTCCTGGTACGTTGCTTGTTGACATGAGAGTTTTGGCGGGAGATGGGTGCTTACCAAACTCCTCCACAAGACCGGTGGTACAGCGAAACACACCCGTCTCGACATCCTCTCCAAACACGAATGCTTTTGAATCTTGTGCCAAGGCAGTGCTGGAGTGGAGGTAGACTTGCGTCAGCTTTGAACGGGTCACTCCGGACGGAGGCGCGCTCACCCAAGAGCATCTCGTATAGCCTGATAAAGGTTCATCTGACGTGTCTGGCGTCCTTTTCCAGTAAGACCCTTCAGCCCATGTCCGTCCGTAAAATTCAGGCCAGGTGTCCGGAGAGCCTGCATAAAGTGAGCGTGTTGTCCACTGAAGCGCTTTCACAACTTGCGCTCTCCGTATCCTTCAAAAAGAGTGCACTCTCCCCGAGAGAGGGCTCTTCGAGCGTTGCCTTGGTGTGGATGATTTTGGGCGCTGTGCGAGACGGAGGGGGTCGCTTGACGCCAGCACTTTCAGGGGAAACCGATGACGAGTGGCGGAGAGCTCTTGTGGCGGCCTTGCCTGCCAGGAGAAGACCGCCGCGATGGGCAGCGTTGAGAACGGGTGGGGCGAGCGCTAATCGAGATGTCAACGGGATAGCCATTGCGGGACTGCAGGGTAGGGCATCGGCGAGATAGATGTGATGGGTTGATACGATCCACCTGGCGCGCTCGACGCAAGCTCGACGGGCAGCTGACACGGCAAGTGGAGGCCACGCCATGGCGGCGGCCGGGTAGCGCATTAGGGAACACTTTGTAATGGATATGAATGCATTAGGATTTTATTAGGAAGGCATTAGGACGCGGCGGGGGAAGATCGGCGGCCCTGGGATAAATGAAACCCTGAGCGGAAGCATTCCGCCAACAACAACGGGGTCCATCGCTCCACATTGCCATCTGCTGTACGAGTCCTTGTAGCTGCAGCACTGTCTGTCCCCCCCCCTCCGTCGGATTCCCGCTGCCCTGCCCATCTGGCGCTGCCGGCCGCTACTCAGCCCTCCACCCAGCTCCTTTATCCCCCCGTGTCCCGAACCACCCGCCCGAGCATCGGCTACGTACAGTCTCGCTGCCGCAAGTAGCACTCGATAATGTTCCAAAAAGTATCGGACAAATTCCACCGCAAGCAACAGTCCTCGTCCTCCTCTGCCAAAACACAGCAATCCTCCCCACCGGGTGCACTCTCCAAGGTCAGCAGCCAAGGACAACCAGCTCCTGCGATGCCGCAGAATCATTCGCCAATGGAGGGTATCGAAAGGTGAGTTGCGTCTCGGTCTTCACCAAGGAGTGGCTGACGGGTGTTTCCAGTACCACTCCCGTGGCCCCTCAGGACGAGACCTCTCACAAACCCTCGGCAGCCGGGTCCTCTGCCTCGTCTTCACTCAACAACATTCCCCCTCAAGCCCGCACACTCTCTGCTGCGCTTGGCGTACATGGCTCGTCCGGGGAGGCCAACGACCCAAACCAGCAGATTACAAGCCCCGTATCGCGAAGCAGCAGTGCTGACGAAGAGCGTATGAGGGAGAAGGCCCGGGAGGCGCAAGAGCAGGTCAGATAAGGTCTCGCAACGTCTCGGCGTTCCACTGACACAACCATCTATAGGCAGCTCAAGCCCAAGCCAACCTTCACAACGCGACCCAGCAGGCTCGCGTTGCAGCCATCAATGCTGCCGCGACGCAAGCAGCATTGGAGACTGGAAGTCAGCTGCCCGCCACGGCAAAGGTACCCGTCCCATCTACTGGCTCTCAGTCTGGTCAGCCCAGACGCAAGACCGCTGGCCGATATGCCCTTTCGGATTTCATGATCGAGAGGACGTGAGTAGACTCCCGATACAGATGTCCAGTCAAAGCTGACGATCGCAGGTTGGGAACTGGCTCTTTTGGGCGAGTTCACCTCGTGCGATCGAGGCACAATGGTCGATTTTACGCCGTCAAGGTGCTGAACAAGGAAAAGGTCATTAGGATGAAACAGGTCGAGCACACCAATTCTGAGCGAGAGATGCTGGTGCGGGTGCGACACCCTTTCCTTGTCAATCTTTGGGGCACATTCCAAGATGTCAACAATCTTTACATGGTCATGGACTTTGTCGCCGGAGGAGAGCTTTTCAGTCTTCTCCGTAAAAGCCAGGTGAGACCCCAAGAGACCAAGCGTCGCGGAAGTTGCTGACACCTCGCAGCGCTTTCCAAACTCTGTAGCAAAGTTTTATGCTGCCGAAGTTGCGCTGGCTTTAGACTATCTCCATTCTTTAGACATTATCTACCGAGACCTCAAACCGGAGAATTTGTTGCTGGGCGCCGACGGTCATGTCAAGGTGACAGACTTTGGCTTTGCCAAATATGTTCCCGACATCACATGGACCCTCTGTGGCACACCAGATTATCGTATGTACGATGACAGGTACAGCAGTGCACACGCTAACCATGTCTAGTCGCACCCGAGGTCGTTCAATCCAAGGGCTACAACAAGAGCGTAGACTGGTACGCTCTGGGCGTCCTCATATTTGAGATGCTGGCACGTATACGACCTTTCTCTAGTTGGCGGTACTGACTCTGTATAGGCTGGGTATCCTCCCTTCTTCACTGAGGATGGCAACCCCATGAAGCTTTATGAGAAGGTATATCATACTATGACAATCCGTCTTCGTTAGCTAATATATACCCGTCAGATCATAGCTGGAAAGGTCCGTTATCCAACGTACTTTGACGTGATGGCCAAAGAGCTCTTGAAGAATTTGCTGGTCGGTGATCTTACCAAGCGTTACGGAAACTTGCGGGCTGGATCGTCCGACATTTTTGCGCATGGTTGGTTTGCGGAAGTGGACTGGGACAAGTTGTACCGAAGAGAAATCCCAGCTCCCTATGTGCCCAAGATTGAAGGAGAAGGAGATGCTAGCCAGTCAGTATAGCGTCGCTGTCCGTGTTTGAGAGACCTTGCTCACCCTACGATAGGTTCGATCGGTACCAGGAAGCGGATGTCAGTGCCTACGGGAAAGCAGGTACTGGTCAGTACGATCACTTCTTCATGGAGTTCTGAACGAGGACCGTGTTGGCGTTGGCAGAGATGTTGTAGCACCACCAATAATCTGGATGACTAACGAGAATGTGTTGTCTTTGGCGAGCATCTTTGCGTGAGAAACCAAGAGCTGTAATGGTAGAAAGATGGTGGGCAAATGGAGGATTCAGCCTGCAGACACGATAGAACACAAGCATGCAAAGTCAGTAGAACCAAAAGGCCGACAACTCTCTTCCAGGCGCCTATGTAGATACGATACATGGTATCGGATTACTCGTACTCTACTCTTGTAGAGCACTCGTAGCGTACTCATATAGCCTTACAGGCTAAGGGCGTGGTGATGTGTACTCCAGTCCAGTGGGTTATCTTGACAAGAATCGCCGATATCCAGAGCACAGTATCGTTGAGCATTACAATACATATACCAATGTGCCAAGAAAAGATATCTATGATGCTGATAGAGATGATGGAATTGACTGCGACTGGTACAGGCCCTAGATTTACCCAAGACAGATCCGAAACAACGTCTAGGCCTCTTCGTCAACCTTGACCAGAGCCTTCTCCATCTTTTGCTTGGGAGTCACTCGAGGTTCGCCCCAGACGTCAATTTTGCCAACAAGAACATCTATCTCCTCAGCCGATAACGCCACACTCCGCACAAGCTGGGCCACAGCAGTGTAGGCACCAGGGAAGTCGACTGACTCATCATCAAGACCGGACATTCGCTCCTCCAGGCTATGGAGACGTCAGTATTTAATCATTCAGGAGTACCAGAGTTACTCACGTCGATGTCAAAGTCTGGACACCAACAGCCTGGGCCTCCACAGCCGCCTTCCAACTCTTTGCCACCACTTCCGCATCCTTGGGCTTAGCAAGCCTGAAGACATCATCAAGCAGTCTCTTGGCGAGAAGCGGGCGATGGGCCTCAGGCAGTGACTTGAAGTACTCGACAACATCCTGAGGATTTCTAGAACCTCCCATGTCCTTCTCACCCCACAGCTCTTTCATATCGAGATCAATCTTGGCTTTGGCACCAGCCTCATCAAGCCCCTCCGCCTCCGTCTCCGCCTCTGCCTCATCCGCTGAGCCCTCGTCATCCTGAGCATCCTCCTCGCCGTCCCCGGGAAGGGGCTTCGTGCGAGGAGCAAGGGAAAGCTTCTTTCGCTGCGTGTACTCACCGGCATCGGCACTTTCTCTCCTTTCGGCAGCGGCTTCGTGGTTTTCATCGGTGAGAGCACTGAACATGTTGGCTGATGAGGAGGGTCGGGACAAAGTGGGTGTGGGGGGAGTAGCGACACCAGACCTGCCGCCCTTCTTGGAGAAGACAGAGCTAGGACCACCGAAGCTGGGAGAAGTACCAGCGGTGGTCATATTGCGGCCAAGATTATGGAAGTCCGCAGGGCGGCTGACCATTCGTGGCGCGGAGACGGACTGCCATTCTCCTGGTTGCTGCTGGTCACGCCTACCACCAGATCGGGAACCACCACGGGAGATGGACTCCTTGGAAGCAGCAGCGGATTTTTCCTGGGCGGCCTTCTTGTGGATTTCGGCAATAGTCATGACACTGGTTTGGTTCTTGTTGGACTTCCAGCCATCCTTTCGAAGATCATGTACGTCCTGCGATGATGTCAGTGCTGGATTCTAGTGCGTACTGCAAAAACCTACCAGAATCATGAATTGAATACGAGAAGGAAGTCCTTCAACCTTCTGAATTTCACTGAGAACAGCCAGTGCGCCATTGAGTTGATCAGGAGCAACCAAGCTGTACTTTTCACCGACAGTGGTGAGAAGCTTGCAGGCAGATTCCACATCCTCCTCGTCGGGGCTTGTCAGGTTGTTCAACAACTTGGACAGGCACCCGTTAATGACACGACTAGACAATATTTCCCGCTTGAACAATTCTCCGATCAACTGTACCAAACCAAGACCTCGACGCTTGGCCTTTTGAGCCGCGTAGTATTCGTCACTCATCAAAACAGCTTCTTTGTCCTCACTGCTCTCCGCCTTTTCCTTTTCGGCCATCTTCTCTCCATCTTCTTTCTCTTTGGCAGCCGCAGCATTCGCGGTATCCTCTCGCGCCTTCCACCCACTCTCAAAGTCCTGCTGACATCGACCCAAAAGGTATCGTCGGAACAAGGCCCTGCCAGAGTACGGTTTGTTGTCGATGGTCTCAGCCACGGCGGGGTCCAATTGATCATGGAGAAGTACACAGAGTTTGGCGTACATCTGCGACCAATGAGCCTCGTCGGTAGCCTTCTCGAAAATCAACTTGATGACGAGCTTGACGGTCATCCCATTCTCTTCGTTGGCAGACTTGTTTGCCCATTCAAGAATCTGTTTAGAAATGGGGTCGAATTTCTCCTCGGTAAGCTTGTTAAGAAGAGCCTTCACCTTCCTCTCAATGTAGACAGGAGAGCTTTCGTCGTTGCCACCAAGTCGTGTTCGGGTCCAGGCGTTCTCGGAGATGGGCATAGCAGGGGCAGGAGGAGCAGCAGGCTGCTGAGGAGCACGCTTGCTTCCTCGCTGACTACCGCGACTGACACCACCTCGAGAGCTAGACATACCCATAGCAGGCAGACCTCCGATGCCACCGGGGCCGCCCTGGCTGGGCGATCGGCCCTGCATGCTAGCGCGGTATCGCTGCTCGCTTGTCGTGTTTCGAATAGAGCTGGGGCCGGAAGAGAAGTTACCAAAGCCGCCAGATCCCATAGAGGGTTTATTGATACCATTGATACCGAGGCCTGTAGATCCAGATCCACGGCTGAAGCCAGATCCCGAAGACCTGCCACCGTATCGACTACCGAATCCACTGGAGCCGTCGGCTTCGAGTCCAATCTCCTTCAAGTTGGGCAAACTCTCAGGCTTCTCCTTGCACACACCCATGAACTGTATCAAAAACTCGCGGTCGTATCGGAATTTTCCAGGCTCGGCTGAAACATTCAATTCAGCGTTGGGCGATTTGAGCGAGCCAGGGTAGTTGATGGAATGAATGTCGTCGATAGGTTGCGCAGATCTGAGCGGATATGAAGAAGTGGAAGGCTCGCCGGTGGTAGGAGATTCAGGTGCGGGATCGGCGTTTTTAAGCTCGTTGACAGCAGCGACTGGCTTGGGTGGAAGACCAGTACCGGGTGCAGGAGTCGAGGCCTCGGCCTGTCATGGGTAAGCTTGGAAGAATCTACAAGGGAATAAACCTGCCTGCTGTGAAACATCCTGGGCGTTCTTTTCCTCGTCCTCCTTGGCCTTCTTTTCCGCCTCCTCCTTCGCCTTGTGCTCTTTTTCTTCGTTGGCCTTTTTGTCGGCATCCTCCTTGGCCTGCTTTTCGCGCCTTTCCTTCCTTTCCTGCTCCTCCTTCGCCTCTTGGGCCTTCAAGGCTTCCTCCTTCAGTCGCTCCTTCTGATCTTCAGGCTTTTCAATTTTGACCACGACCGGCAAGGAGAACGCAGGCTTCTTGGGGGCCTCCTTGGCCTCAGGGGCAGGGGTGGAGGGCGAAGCAGGGGTGGAGGCGTTGGAGTTGGAGGCAGAAGGTCCCTTGACGGAGGAAGACTTGAGGGCTTCTTCCATGAGGTTCAAAGCCGAGCCGTCGGGTCTCGATATTTTAATAGCCGCCGACCGCCTGGGAGTGTTGAACGAGCCTCCAGGAGTAAAGGTCGAGCTTCCGCCCGAGAGGGGAGTGAAGGAGGGGGGGGATCGGATGGGGGTGGAGGGGATGGAGGACTGGGAGGAGGTGGAGCTGGCGGGCTGGTGGCCAGCCAGGGGGCCGGGGCCGGGAGGTCGGACTGCCTGGACGGGTGTGCCGGGGGCGCTGCCGGCATAGGGGACGTTCTGGGGCTGGGCGGGCTGGAAAGGGACGGGGCGGGGGTTATACTGGGGGTACTGGGCCTGGGGGTGGTGCTGGGGGGCCCACTGCTGCTGGGGCATGGGGTAGGCCTGGTCGTAGGGGTAGGCGGGGTAGAAGCCCTGCTGGTAGGGGACGGGCTGGAACTGCTGCGGGGGGAACGGGGCGCGGGGGGCTTGCCCAGCGGCGGGGGCGGGCCTGGCGGGGGTCATCGGCGCCATCGTATGCCTTTTTTCGATAAACACAAAATCTGGAGGACAACGAAACTGAGGCGAAATATTACATCAGGAACTCGCGGCGACCGCCGCTCTGTCTATCCGCCGCCAGCCGCCACATTGACATGACCGTCTTGTATCCTGTCTTCTAGATAGCGGGTCATTGTTCAACCATAGGATGATGTCCATGCTGCGTTAAATTTCGACGCAATATACAAGGTAGTTTGGACGTTATACATGTAGGCTGAACCTTTGCCATCCAACCGTCTTCTTTCCCACATCAGTCCATCCTAGCCCTGAGAGTACGAGTAATAACCTGATCATGTGTTCTACAGACATAATCTCAGTGTAGCCCACGCCGGATAACGTCTGCACTCACATGATGTTGACCACCGCTCCCCAACCACTGAGCGCGTCTCGGTCTACAGAGCTCAACAACGTCTGAGAGATGGTCTCAAACAAGTCCTCCGGCTCCTGAGATTGTACGCACTTAGCGAGCTACTTGCATTACGATTACAAGGCAGAAACTTACGAGATCAGGCTCCCAAAGACCTTCAGCAATACCATACAGCTTGTCGGCAGCGGTCCCCGCAACAGCAAAGTCCTTTGGTGTAGTGATACAACCGATGCTATGATTACACATCAGCCGTGGCCTTTGTATGATGATCATTGGACTCACGTGTCCATGGTAGAAATGTAAGGCTTGGGGTTAGGCTCCAGAGGAGTAGGTGAGGGCAGACCGGCGACAACCGGCTCGATAAAGAATGGTCCAAAGCGTTTCTCGTACAAGGTGCTGGAAAGGAGGTGGGTGAAGGTTTTGGGTGTTATTTCTCTCTCCTCCTTCATTCGGTACATGTTGACTCGGAAGCGCATGTGTTCGCGTCTGCGAGAACAGTCATAAGCAGTACTTGACGTGCAACAGTTCGCCCGACTCACAACGTGTAGACATCGGACGCAAGACCGGGGATGCCGTAGTAGAGCTTGTCGTTTACGGGAGACACTTTGTCAAAGTTGGAGGCGATACCGACCTGTTGATTTCCGAGCCGCAAGTCGGAGGCGATAGCGACACAGTCTTTGCCAATCATGGCCACGACAGAGCCACCGTTCAATTCCATTACAGACTGCAGCGGTCAGTCAGCGATGATCTCGCTGGTCTACTCGGGCGTACCATGGTGGGCAGATGGGTGTTTGTGATGGGGAGGGGAAGAAATGTGGCACTGACGACACTGAAGCCACCTGAAGCAAGAGGACACGCTCGCGCGGCCTCGTCCACCACAGGAACGATTTGATCCCGTTGTGGCACCAATCAGCCATGAGACGCGACGCGTTTTACTTGTCAACTCCTGTCATATGTATCTGTCTCTCACCCTCGCACCCAGCCATGTCCACGCAGCCTCCTTCTTCCCTCCCTGAATACAGTCTCTCAGCCCTTCCCATACCGTGAGCTCCATCCACATTTATGTAAGTGAGCAGCTGATTCCACCCCTAGGCGGTCTGTCAAGGTTGCTTTGGAAGAAGCAGGCTATCGCACAACGCGTGATATCGAACTCATGTCGGCCGAAGACTTGTCTGTCGGTGCGCCACAATAATGACTCTTTCGACAACAACGCTGACAACCCAAGTCAAGAGCTAGCAATATCGACGTCCGAAGCAAAATTCACACTGCAACAGGCAGAGGAATGGCAAGGTAAGCCGACAATGAAAGATACATCCAAGACCACCACCGATTCAAGACACTTGATATAGGTCGGACCACACATGGTGGAATAGGGGGTATGACCTCCCAGACATCGCAAGCCCATATCCAGTCCGCAACAGCTGCCGATCTTTTGTCAACCGCTACCCAACCTCATTTTTCCACATTTTCTGCTTCTCTCGATGGCCTGATTGGGAGATTTGGCCTTTCAATTTCCTCGGAAGCGGGGTCTTCTTGTAAAGGGAAAGAGAGATTGCACACAGGCTCAATAGTTCCTGGAATGGTTGTTGAGATATCGGGACCACCTGGAGGAGGTAAATCTGCCATTGCTCTGGCGGTGGCACTGAGTGCCCGTGAATCTGGCCAGAAAGAGACGGAACTGAACGGTCACTCGGAAGGAAAAGCGCACTCGGAATCTGGGGAAGTTTTGATCATAGGTAAGGCGGCTCGCGATCGGTCGCGGGATAACGCTAAACATCAGTCAGATACGGAGGGCGCCATGACTGCAGAGAGGTTGTACGAGGCCGCCTGGGCCGTTGTAGAAGAGGACAAACGTATGTAACATGCGCAGGCGTAGAGTCTTGCTGAAGCTATCCAGGACTGCCACATGACGTGTTGCAAGGGATCCATCTTTTGCGGGTATCCACGCAACATGAGATGTTGGCGCTTTTGCATACCCTGGACGAATGGTTGGAATCACATCCGAAGGTGAGTCGTCAGTGCTTTCTCTGACGAACCGGTCTGAGTCCGCCTTAGGTCAATCTTGTCATCGTAGATACCCTGAGCTTCCACTTCAGACAGCTCAGTCTGGACATCGCTGCGAAACGTCGGGCCATGGAATTGCAAGTGTTGATTGCTCGCCAGAAGGAGGCGGACTGATGAATAACAGATCAAGAACAATTATAAGCAAAGCTGCTATGGTGCATCACTGCGCAGTAAGCGATAGCCTAAGCATTTGCAACGCAGCTGACAGAAATCTACAGGTGATAGTATGTAATCAACTAGCGACAAAGCTCTTGAATGCCGAGAACAAGCCCGCGAATTTCGATACGGGCGATCGAGCCATTCTCATGCCTCAGCTCAGTTAGTCTTTATGGATTGGGCGCTTACGTGCTCATGTCGCTTCGCAGGTGACTCGTGGGCTACATCAAAAGCGCTGCGACTGGTCGTGTTTCGTGGAGGTGTCAGTGACGAGATGCGGTATGTATATGCCTCAATGTCCGGATCAAGCAAAACAGTGCCGTACGCTGCTTTCGATATCGACGTGAGTAGATCGACGGCAATCGGAACAATCTCTGATGTGGTTCCAGTCCAACGGTTTGCCCTGTGATGTACCGGAAATGCTCTATCCAACAGCATAGCACCATTTATAATATGTTTGATAGCGTACCAGTACATGCGATGCATTTCACCCCATACTGCAGACTGCTCGTAACGAACGATAGGTCCTAGGCTTAGTATCCGGACGGCCTTGCTACAGAAGTGTCATAAGACCGAATCAATCTTGTTTGGTCTTGATTGCTAGTTTCGGTCTGGGAGAAGGCGAAGCCTCGCTGGCGGCGCATACGTTGTGTTGCTCGCACCTTTTTGATGGCTTTTTGGAACCTGGGGGTTTATGTCAGTCATACCAGATGCCAAAGAAAGAGGCCAAATACGTACTGTTCTTGGCGCGGCCGGTAATCAGCGAGGCTAAACTTTTGAATTTCTTGGACAATATGATATGACTCCGGGTGGTAAGTACGTTTGTAGCTGATGTTTGTGAGTTCATGTACCAGCTGATGAGACGTGATCGACCTACTACTTCCAAACATAGTCTCGCAGCAGGCATATGATGGGAAACAAGAACAGGACAAAGTAGAATATCGGATCTGCCCAAAGACGGGGGACAATGCCGGTGAATTCGAGGGAAAAGTTCAGCAAAGGCGCGACTATGGCATATATGGGCAGCGCGACCATGGTAAAGATGAAGGATCCGGGAATGGCTGGGATGGGGTCAACACTTATTCAGCAGTCAGCTTCGTGAAACCTACCGGCGAGGGTGTACTTTGTCCATACGCTGCAAATTATCGTGATCAGCTCGCAGACTCCAATTTTTGCTCTCCCCGTCCGTCCACTTACTCGGATATCAGTGCAGCTTTTCCCAGAACGGTCAACAAGACAGCCAAATACAGAGTCGTCCCCCAAACCCATAAGCCAGAGTTCTTTCCGTCCGTAGCTAGCAGATCGTTCCGGAACACCAAGACAGAAAACGCGAACAGGACCTATGCCGCTTTATTAACCAGAGTTGTCACACCGATGCTGGCCACTTACTACACTGTGATAGAACGCGTTTCCAACCCAGTAGAAGAATGTGATGGGAGCAAAGAAATAGTTTTGCTGTCCAAGCTGGTACAATTGAGGGTACCGATCAAGTATCCGAGCAGATACGAATTGATCAAAGATTCCTATTACAAGAGGGGGGAGAATGGTGAAGATCACGTTGTAGTAGGACATTGACCATCCCTCGAATGCAATTTGACCCGAGAAATCGTTGAACCAAGAATACTAGAGACATGTCAGCACGTTCCCGCATGGGTATCGCTAATGGACATACCCAGAAGAGAGTCAATGCGAATGTTATATTTTTGTAGAACGAAACTTTGGAGGCACGAGTCAGCAACGAATCACAGACCAATCGTTTTTGAGCTCACAGAGAATGAGCTTGCTCAGCCTTTGATAACTCCATGACCCGTGTACAAGCAGCAATTTCCGCAAAAACCTGAATTGCGAGATGGCAACATCGGCCGACCGAGCAGCTTGCAGACCCTAATCTCTGTCAGTCACGCAGCCCCGAATACAATCGAGGAACGGCCCACCTCAACACCCGAGATGCCGACACCGACATGAGCGGCCTGGATCATGCTGACATCGTTGGCACCGTCGCCTATGGCCAGAAGGGGCGCGTCTGTACTTCGCTTTACAAGTTTGACAACCAAAGCTTTCTGCAAGGGCGATACCCGACCTAAATCTGGATCAGCGGATAGAACGAGTGTTTTGGTGAAAGTGCGCACAGCAAACGACAGCCTAAGAGGGGTTCATTAATGGAATTTCCGGAAATATGATTATGACTTACTTTGCACATAATGGCGAGTTCCAGAAAGACTTCAGAGCATTCTTTCTCCAAAGCGTAAGTAAGACTTTTACCATCTACAAAAGGGCCGTCAGCATGAGCGAACTCTCGCTGCATATATGTGACTCTACCGATGATCAGAGCCAGCTCTTCTGTATCCCCACCCATTCGCTGGTTTTTGATAGCGAAGAGGCGTTTATTCAGAAGCTCCGAGGTCTCCGTCGCTGTATCGGTATTGATAATGACCTGACGTTGTTAGTGAGTCGCGGATGCCTGGTTGAAAATCAACTCACAAGATTCATGGATTCCGAGATCAAGCGGCATGAAAGGCCAATGTTGATGGCTGTTTCTTGCCTGTCACCAGTGAGAACCCAGACCTTTGGGGTTGTCAGTCATTGTTGATCCGAGGAAGACATATACGGACCTTGATACCGGCTTGCTGAAGGGTATGGATCGTGTCCGGGACACCTTCTTGCAGCTTGTCCTCGATGGCTGTGGCACCCAATAGCTGAAGATTCTGTTCGATGACCTCTGCAACTCGGTCAAGCGCATCGGCTCGGCCCGAAAGCTGAGAGGCAGCGGTGTCATACATCTGCGCCCACTGAGCGTATTCTTCGTCTGATATGTCTCTGTAAGCAAGACAGAGTGTTCGGAGACCTTCAGTGGCGTAGTCCTGATTGATGATTATTATAGAGGCGCTCAAGTCCTGTTATGAACACTTACCTCAAGGTGTACCAGCGTAGATTCAGAAAATTCCTGCTTTGGTGCTAATCTCTCGTAGACAACGGTGTCTGCGCCTTTGGTGTACAGCCTGATTCTACCATCCGGTCCGCGTACGACTGTAGACATTCGCTTTCGAGAAGAATTGAATTCACAGATATTGAGGATCTCCCACTCTTCCGAGCGGCCATTGACGTCGACAAACACCGATTTGGGTTTACGAGTCTAATGTTTGTTTAGCTGGTCATCAGAAGCTGGTGTCGCAGGCTTACGTGGAAGCGGTAACCCAGCATTTCTGCCCCAGAGACCAAAGCAGCCTCGTCGGGGCTGGAAGCTTGATAAACCATCGCACCATCTCGTTCTTCCGGGATGACCGTGTGACAGATTGAGAGCAACAGAAGGCTGTGGGTCTAATCAGCTCGTGAGTTAGTCTGGAGCTTTGAGACTTGCAATTGTCGAAGCGTCTCCCCTTCCTCCGAATCCTCCTGGGCCCTTTCCCTCAAGACATCAAAATTCTTCTGACCCTGGTCCCTTTTCGCGTCGTCCACCACCTGCGCATACATAGTACCAAAGACACTGCACTCTCTGAATTCCATCTCGTTTCTCGTCAAAGTGCCCGTTTTGTCGGAGAATATGTATGCAATTTGACCAAGTTCTTCAACAAGAGAGGATGTTCGACAGAGGGCAGGAGTGTCGGTCGGGGCGTGATACATATCCAGGTCAGAATTGATCAGTGATGCTTGTTGAAATTTGACAACCTCCATGGTCATGATCAAACTACGATTGAGTCAGCCAACGGCAACACTAGAACAGAGATACACATGCGAGATAGGGATCAAGTTGTTATAGAGAATGATGAAGGTCAAGAAATCCTCGATGAATTGACGAGCTACAAATTCTGTCAGCCAGGCGCGTTTAGGACCACTTGAACTGACCTTTATTTTTGTTCTCATCGCCAAGTCGCAGATACCAAGAGTTTGTATCCCAAATCCAAGCTCTCAAGCTACTTCCGATGGTCGAAACAAGTGATAGAATGAGAAGGAGGACAAAGAGGAGGAGGATTTGGCGGTTGACTTGGCGTTCAACAGATGTTCGCTTGATTGGTGCATCGCTGCATTTTCGTCAGCGGGATGTCGGCCCAAACGAAGAAAGCCACTCACGTAGCATTCCTCATAAGCTTTGTCTCGTGTCCAGCATTGACAACAACCCCGTAAACCCATTCCGTGTTCCTGAGTTGTGCACCTCGTAGCAACAACTGATTTGGTCCGACAGGGATCTTTGTCGGAGCTGCGCCGGGGTGGGAGGAAGAGAGATGGAATGTGCCGTCGTATGTATAGAGAGACGAGTTGGGAGCTTCGGACAATAGATGCCCGCGGAGCAATGAAACGGACTGGGGATTGGTGAGAGACGCTGTCGAAGGCTGAGCCTGCTTGATCTTCAAATTGGTTTCACTGGGTGTGGTCAGTTTGCGCAGCTCGACCTCGTCATTGGGAAACTCACCCGTCCAGATTGGCGGTCTCAATATAACAAAGCCCCTCCGGCTCACTGCTGCTGATCAGTAACACATCGGCAGGAATGAAGCCGTTGGCTTCCAATCTGACAATGTCCCCGACTCTGACCTTGCGCCATGGTCGATTCTGGAATTGGCCATCGACGAGCACTTGCGTGGAACTGTAGTTGAGGGAGCGATCTGAGGCGTGACGTTTCTGACAAATAATCAGCAGTGTACCCCCTATCAATGCCTAAGAGAGCGCACAAAGTCCTCCTTGATTTCTTTGAAAGCACTTGCTATGATGACCACTGCGAGAGGGACAATTGTGGTGTAGTGACCCGTGGGAGAGACGTCGGGTACTTGCTGGATACAAGCTGTTCAAGAGTCAGAAGAGTGTGTATGTGAAAACGGAGGAGAGCACACCTGTGAAAAGGAAGAACAGGTTGGCTGAACGTGAAAACTCGGCTTGAAGAACATGAGCATTCGCGTAATCAAATACCCCCCCAGGAGGACACTCACAGAACAAGAATTTCGGCAAGAATGTTATTGGGCCATATTTGCCTGTTGTCACTGAATTGTTCTCAAAGCCCTTCAATCTGTTACCTTCAGGATCATTCAAAGCTATCTCCCTCGGCATCCCATCGAACTTGCTCTTCCTTCTCAACAACTGATTAAGACCCATAGTCCAATCGACATCTGTCAAGTAGTCGTCCCTGAACTTCTGCCATCTCGACCGCCGCGGTCGAGCCCAGTTTGAGGCCGCTGCTGCACCTGGGGCAGTAAAGGCATATGCTGAAGGCCCTTCATCATCTCCAAATGGGTCATCGCCATATGATCTTGCCGAAGCCGGACCTGCAAAGCCTGCCGGGGCTACACCGTTGTCCGCGAAGGGCACCTGTGATTCCACCATTGACGCATCCGAGTGGCCGTATGATGATTTGGGTACGTTCACAGTAGAGGTAGAGGGTCCCAGGTAGCCAGAGGACGCATATCCAGGCTGGGGATGTGGCGGGTATTCATCGTCGCTATAACAATTCAACATGCGGACATGCACGATGAAAGCAAAAC